CTTTTAGAATTCTTAAGTTTTCATGCCTTAGGTCTAAGTCTTTTATCCATCTTGAATTAATTTTTGTGACTGATGAGAGGTAGGGGTCCTGTTTCATTCTTTTGCATGGGGCTATTCAATTTTCTCAGCACCATTTATTGAATAGGGCTTCTTTTTGCTAGTGTACGTTGTTTGTTTTGTCAAAGACCAATCAGTCTTTGACATGGATGGTTTTATTCCTGGGTTATTTGTTCTGTTGGTCTATGTGTCTGTTTTTGTGCCCATATAATTCTGTTTTGATTACTATAGCCTTGTAGTATAGTTTGAAGTCTGGTAATGTGATACCTCCAGATTTATTCTTTTTGCTTAAGATTGTGTTGGCTATTCTGGCTCTTTTCTGGTTCCAAATGAAGCATAGAACTATTTTTTTAGATCTGTGAAAGATGATATTGGTATTTTGATGGGGATTGCATTGAATCTGTAAATTGTTTTGGCTAGCATGGCCATTTTAACAAAATTGATTCTATTGATCCATGAGCATGATATATTTTCCATTTTTTTTCTTAAGGCTTAAGAAAATCGTCTGCAGTTTCTTTCCTCAGTGATTTGTAGTTCTTTTTGTAGAGATCATTTACCTCCTTGGTTAAGTATATTTGTAGGTATTTTCTTTGTAGCTGTTGTGAATGATATCGGGTCTTTGATTTGACTCTCAGCTTGACTGTTATTGGTGTATATAGGAATGCTACTGACTTGTGTACATCAATTTTGTAACCTTTGACTTTGCTGAATTCATTTATCAATTCCAGGAGTGTCTTGGTGGAGTCTTTGGGGTTTTCTAGATATAAGATCATATTGTCAGCAAAAAGCAATAGTTTGACCTCCTCTTTCCCAATTTGGATACCTTTATTTCTATCTCTTGTCCACGCTGTTTTTAACAATCAGTTCTTATGGGAACTAATAGAGCAAGAACTTGACAAAGTAATCATTACTGCAAGGACTGCACTGAGCCATTTATGAGGGATCTGTCCCCATGACCCAAACACCTCTCTTTAGGCCCCACTTCCAACACTGGGGATCAAATTTCAACGTGAGATTTGGAGGGGACAAATATCCAGACTATATCAGAGTGTTTATTGTTTGCTTGTTCTGTGATTTTTCTAAACTGTTTTTGTAAGGTCTATTTCCTTAGTCAGGTGTGGCCACTGAAGTCTGTGTTCTATTTGCTTAGAAGTTAGCTAGTGTTTTGACAGTTTTTTGAAAATACCTGGAGTCAAAAGACAAAGAAAAAGTACTCTCCACATTTTTATAGATTGGCTCTGTGTTTGGGTACTCTTTTACCGCTTAGCCAAGCCTTAGCCTTCGTGTTTTGTTTGCTCAGAGGCTGAAGGTCAGCCAGAGGTGAAAGCTTAGGGTCTTCTCAGGACTTTGCTGGGCCTTTTCTAAGCATTGGTTCAGCCCTGGCCCATGTGTTTGGTCTTCTTGATTTTCTGGTACACACAGGAGCTTTTAAAAGCCCTCATTACCCCACATATATCCTTTCCTATCCCTTTTCTGCCCAGCCTTTTCCATCTGTCTGTAGCTTGTCCCAATGATTGTCCCTTGCCCCAGGCTGCTGCATCAATTAAACGATTTTGGCAAAAGCCACCTAAGAATACTCCCTAGGCCTGGGAATGCTCCAAGTCAGGTGAAGTGAAGCCTTTGCAGCCAGACAACTTGAAACGTGCAATCCCAATTCCTTAAGAATAAGGTGTGAGCCCGGGCGCCGGTGGCTCACGCCTGTAATCCTAGCTCTCTGGGAGGCTGAGGCGGGCGGATTGCTCGAGGTCAGGAGTTCGAAACCAGCCTGAGCAAGAGTGAGACCCCGTCTCTACTATAAATAGAAAGAATTAATTGGCCAACTAATATATATACAAAAATTAGCCGGCATGGTGCGAATGCCTGTAGTCCAGCTACTTGGGAGGCTGAGGCAGCAGGATTGCTTGAGCCAGGAGTTTGAGGTTGCTGTGAGCTAGGCTGACGCCACGGCACTCACTCTAGCCTGGGCAACAAAGCGAGACTCTGTCTCAAAAAAAAAAAAAAAAAAAAAAAAAAAGAATAAGGTGTGTATTGCTCCCTCTGAATTAGATTCAGGTTGCTGTCCTCACAAGCCACCACTGACTTGGAATGTAGGGGACTATAGACAGGCAACTTAAGATGCCACAGCACTCTCTTTACTACAAAGCAGCAATTTCTTTCTTCACCAAGCCTTGCCCTAGATTTTGTACATTTTTTACTAGATTTCATAGTTATGCAAAAATTGACAGTATTTGTGGTCTTGTTAATTGCCTTTTTGGGGGAATGAAGCCCTAGAGTTCCTACTCTGCCATTTTTGGTGATGTTACCTGCTGTAGATATTTTCAGAATGTATATATCATTACCCAGAAGTAAGAAATTGGAAGAGAAAAGTTTATTTATGCATATAGGAGAGATTATTTTTATTTGGACATGGGGTTGTTTGAGGTGCTGATGGTGTTGTGGCAGTGGTACAGCTAGTGTTACAGCTCTTGTTACAGCTCTTATTCATTTGACCAGGGAAAAAACCGAGCGACACATGAAGAGTCGGAGAAAAGCCTTTATTCTTCTACAGCAGACACACCTAGTATTAAAGCTCTCTTCATGTCTTCCGAGTGTTCCCAATATTTTCCTGCCTTTTGCCCCTGCTTTTATACCCTTGGTAGGGCTCAAGAAGCATCCAGTCAACTACAAGCTTTAACATCCAATCAGCAACAGGCTTTAACATCCAATCAACAACAAGCCTTAACATCCAACCAAAAACAGTGGGATTCAAAAATTACCCAATCAGGATCACGCAAGGAGTGTGGCCGGAAACAGGCCGTGGCACAAGGACCTGGGGCATTCCGGCACGCAGGTGTCCAGGGCGTCTGGGCACTGCGGGGCCAGCCCTAGCAGCGTGCCTCTAACTGGCCACGCGCAGCACTGGCCCCCGGAGATGCAGAACTACGGGAGGCAGCAATCAGCCGTGACCTGGCACCCGACATTTTCACATCAGTGGCACAATCTTTGAATGTCAAGTGACATTGGAATTGTAGTACTTGATTCCAGGAAGATCTTAGAGCTACAAAGAGATCTGGGAACCTAAGCAGAAGTTATAGAAAATTAAAGTATATAATTTTCTTAATACTAGAAGGGATGGTCAAATATGGCATCTCGGAAAATACTTTCAACTAAGAAATCATTCACTTACTCATTCAGCAACCATTCACTTTGTTCATATTACTAACGTGGGTACTGCTGAGTACTGGAGATATGAGGGAATAAGATCTAATTTTCTTCCCTGAAGAAGTTCACTCTCATATTAAGAAAGGCAATTAGCAAGTACAATGCAATTATAACAACAAGGGTTAGAGGAGGCCAAAGGGAGGCATACAAAAACATATAAATAAGTCAGGAGGGAAAACAAGAGACTCTGGGAACTCAAAGAGGGATAACACATAATGGAGAGAGTGATGTGTGACCTTGTTAGCTGCATGAGAATTTGAGAAGGCTGAGAACTGAATGGTACTGATTTGGCAGTAAGGAGATAACACAGTTTTCATCAGAATGGTTTTAATTGAGTAGTTTTGGTAGAATGGTAGAGATAGAGAATCAGATTATAAATTAGGAGTGTGAATGAGTGGTGAAAAGTTGAGGGAAAAGGGGAAGACAACTTTATAGAGAATGGTACAGTTTAACACATTGACTGCTACAATTAGAAAAAAATGTTTTTTCCTTGGGGCCATGGTGTTTTATGAAAATCGAATAAAACTTCGAAAACAAAATGATACTTTCTAATTTAATAAAAATTTGTACTTTTATTGTTTTCTGTGCATGATTATATGCAACTTGAAAAATAACTTCTCATGGCTCCAAGTTGAAGAGATGTGTGAGTTACATATGCTTCACAAGGTCCTGGCTCAAAACTAACCTGAGTTAAATAAACTCTCATGGCAGTTAATGTATTAAAAGGAGTAACAGAGTTAAAGTAACTTTATTTGGGAGAAGAGATTCAGACAATTAAAGGGACTGGATAGGAGGGAAACAAGGATGGCAAAGAGTTCCAAAAGATCAGGAAGATGATATTAAGAATGCAGAAAAGTCAGGATTTGGAAATTTGGGTGAAGAAAGAGAGTGAAGGTAGTGAGAAAGAGTTTTGAGACTGAGAAGGAATTTGAGAAATTCTACCTAGGAAAACCTCAGCTTTCTAGGTAAAGCAGAGCACAAAATCACGTGCAAAGAAATGAGCAGCAGTGCAATGCCTGACTGAAGTTGATGTAGCATGCATTTGTGTTGATAATACCATTTGGTGATTTTTCTCATTTCTTTCAACAAATATATATTGAGCATTATTGTGTACTAAGCACTGTACAAGTGAACAAAGTAACAAAAATCCCTGTCCTTGTAAAGGTTACATGTAATGAGGGAACTGGGGGGGGGGACAAACAAGTAAATTTATATATATTAATATATTGTTTCAAAATAAAATGAGGTAAATAGAGCTAGGAACTAAAACAAATGGGAAGATTACTTAGATGTAACTACAATTTTGTATTGCATATCAAGTTCTAATTTAAGTTACTATCTTATTTCTGTACAGCTAATTGTAGAGTCTAGGTTAATAAAATAGAGAAATATGGATTTGGTATATGGCCTTTGCATCTTTGGTTGTAGCTATGAGAAATAATCTATATTCACATTTAACAGAAAATACATTGATTTAGAACAACTTTATGTAGTTATTTCACTTTGACAAGAGAAAAGACAAGATGAACTGTCATATAATAACTGAAATTAAATCTTCATTTGGTATGAAAAGAATTTGTATCTCATTTCCAAAAACATGATTGTACCCATAGGAATTTGTATCTAAATTTAAAGGCTTAACAAAAACTACACAGAGTTGAAGATGCTTTGTTAATTACTGAATAAATGGGATTTTTGATAACATTTATATATTTCTTCTTGTTACCCTTTTATTTAAACAGGTATTGGAAAGGTGAAAAGAAAACCTAGTGTACCAGATTCTGCATCTCCAGCTGATGATAGTTTTGTTGACCCAGGGGAACGTCTCTATGACCTCAACATGCCTGCTTATGTGAAATTTAACTACATGGCTGAGAGGGAGGATGAATTATCATTGATAAAAGGGACGAAGGTGATCGTCATGGAGAAATGCAGTGATGGTGTGGTGGCGGGGTAGCTACAATGGACAAGTTGGGTGGTTCCCTTCAAACTATGTAACTGAAGAAGGTGACAGTCCTTTGGGTGACCATGTGGGTTCTCTGTCGGAGAAATTAGCAGCAGTTGTCAATAACCTAAATACTGGGCAAGTGTTGCATGTGGTACAGGCTCTTTACCCATTCAGCTCATCCAATGATGAAGAACTTAATTTTGAGAAAGGAGATGTAATGGATGTTATTGAAAAACCTGAAAATGACCCAGAGTGGTGGAAATGCAGGAAGATCAATGGAATGGTTGGTCTGGTGCCAAAAAACTATGTTACCATTATGCAGAATAATCCATTAACCTCAAGTATGGAACCATCACCTCCACAGTGTGATTACATTAGGCCATCACTCACTGGGAAGTTTGCTGGCAATCCTTGGTTTATGGCAAAGTCACCAGGCATCAAGCAGAAATGGCATTAAATGAAAGAGGGCATGAGGGGGATTTCCTCATTCGTGATAGTGAATCTTCGGTAAGTTGAGTTTCAGAGGTAAATGCAAATAGTTCTGGGTATTAAAAAAAGAAACAGAGGATTAGAGAGGTTAAGTGGCTTCCCTAAAGTTCAACTAGGGTATAAGCTGGGACATAAGCATAAATGTTCAGAAGCTAAAGTCAGTGTTCTTTCCAATTGTATCTATTTTGAATAAAAGCTGTAGCAGTAATACTATGCTAGATTATTTAGTCTTGTCTAGTTCTGTTGTTTTTGCATTCTTGAAATATTTTCTGTTGCATAAAATTGAAAAATGGAGAAAATTGAACATTGGCTTCTTCGTTGAAAGTATAATAATAATACAGTAGATTAAACTGGGAAACATTTCTTAAATTGCTCTTGGATGTAGTGTATAAGAAGATAATCACTGTGATCTGTATCACATAGTAAATCCCTGAATTAATTAATATTAAGTTTCTTCATAAATTGGTTGTTTGGAAGTTAGACTACACTTTTATTATGTACCTCAAAAATCTATTTTTAACACTTTCTATGTTTGAAATGCATTTGAAATAAAAGGTAAATTGTACCACTAGTAAACAATAAAATGATAAAACCCTAAAAATTAAATTATAAATATAATTATGTGATTTGGGGTACTGTTTAGGATATTAGAATTTGGTCACACTTACTTTCTTAAAAGTGGCTTTTCTTTTTCCTTGATAAAGGATATCACTACTTTTTCACTTATCAAATCATAATTAATGTTGACTTTGTGTGAATGTAGTTGTATAAAAGTGAATGTGTAATGTGCAAAAGGGTGAAAGAAAGAAGAAAATGTGTGAGAGCAAGAGGGAGAGAGACAGAGACAGAGGAAGATTAATTGAACTTCCTGGTATGAAGTTCAGGAAAATAAGGCCTATACCTAGCTCCTCAGTAGAACAAGTGGTTGATAGTAGGGAAGAGTGGTGGAATCCATCTTCTGTTAATGCCTAGTCTGGCCCACTGTTTGAAACATTGGGAGTAATTGTATAAAAAGAGGATTTAGGGGTTAATAGAGGCTGTTTAGAAGAGTGTTAAATTGAAAAAACAAACACTCCCATTCATCGCCCTAGAGGAAAAAAACACCCAATTAAAAAGCGTAGCTTAAGTGCAGAATAATATGTATTTTCTTGTGAGTAACAAGCATACAAATCCAGGTGTGGTAGGTCACACCTGTAATCCCAGTCTTTGGGAGTCCGAGGTGGGAAAATCACTTGAGGCCAGGAATTCAAGACCAGCCTGGGCAACATAGCAAGACTCTGTCTCTACAAAAAATAACTATAAAAAATTAGCCGGGTATGGTTGTTGGTGCCTGTAGTCCCAGCTATTCTGGAGGCTGAGGCAGAAGGATTGCTTGAGCCCAGGAGATCAAGTTTACAATGAGCTGTGATCATGCCACTGTACTCCATCATGGGCAACAGAGCAAGATCCTATCAAAAAACCCCCCCCCCCCCAAAATACAGTATACTATTATTTTTAGCAATATAATTTTTAAGGTAGAGGTCTCAAAAAGGCATATTTTGTTTGACCTTTACAGTGGTTTTTGAAATATTCAAATTCATTGCCAATATTTAAATATTGGTAGATTTATTATAAAAATTCAGACTTTAGACTTCCCATTTAAAGTTGGAAGACGTGCCAGCATTGAGCCCCTGTTCTGCAAGGCAACTATCACAGCTGAGAAGTGTCTACTTCCTTTAGATTGGCCATACACTGTCATTCCCTCTGCCCGTCCGCTTTTCCACCCTGACACTTGGTTGCATTACTCTTTTGTCCCTTGTAGGCATTTGAGTTTGTGGTCTCTCATTAGAGTTAAATTACTTCTCATTTATATGACCTTCATTTTTGGGAATTCAGAGTGTTAACCCTAAGACAGCTGTTGTTAGCTATAAATTGAAAAGCGGTGAATGTCTTAGATTTTCTCATGTGTTTCTCCAGTAGCTTGACTAGACAGAAGATAGATCTTGTGATTTAAATATTAAACTAAGGGATTTGTTGTGGGCATATGGCATGGAAGCCATCGATGTTAAGAGATTTTTGACTACACAGGTTAGAATCCTGGCTCTGTTGTTAACTAAATAGTTGATAATTGGGCAGGTTAGCTTCTCTGAGCCTCAGTTTTCTCATCTGTAAAAAGATTTGTTTTGAAGAGTAAAGGAGATAATCTATGTAAATAATTTAGCATGATGTCTTGTACTTAGTAAATGTTCAAGTTTTAACTATTATTATTTTTATGTAAAAATGCTCATAGATGGCTTTCACTATGTTTACTATATGTGTTTTTTTCTCTTTTAGCCAAACGATTTCTCAGTATCACTAAAAGCACAAGGGAAAAACAAGCATTTTAAAGTCCAGCTAAAAGAGACTGTCTACTGCATTGGGCAGCGTAAATTCAGCACCATGGAAGAACTTGTAGAACATTACAAAAAGGCACCAATATTTACAAGTGAACAAGGAGAAAAATTATATCTTGTCAAGCATTTGTCATGATACTGATGACCAGAAGTGACTGCTACGTAGCTTTAACTTGTCATGTAATTGAAGACTGAGAAAATGGTAGTCCAATCATGCATGATTGGAAATTGCTATTTCTAACTCTGAGAATTGACTATAATACATAAGTATTTTTATTATAATTCAGCCCACATATATATATATATATAAATACTATGTATGCAATGCATCTACATAGAACAATTCCTTATCCTTGATCTTCTGTTTTATTGTTTTCTTCTTTGCCACTTTTTCTCTTTGCTTCTAATGTTAAGGTTTTGTATTTTGGAAAAAGAATCAAATAATGAAGTCTTTATATTGAAGAATTCCTTTATTGCCTTTCCTTTATTTCCTTGTAAAGGTACCCTATTTCTTCTGTGATGATTTCTCTTCATATAAAATCATATCTATATATGACATATGCTAAAATAAATTTCTTGGAGAGTATTAATTTTTTCTGTGACTAAATAGCAATAATAAATGGAAAATTAGAAATTATTTTCAAGTATTATATTTGTCACAAGCCATTGTAAATACCAAGTATGTTGTATCAGCCATTTTTTTAATTCATTCATTATCTTCAATTTATAGCAAAACCAAGTTAGAAAACATCTTGTACAATTTTTTTATCATGTACAATTTTAATTTACAACTGTTGGAAACAAAATCACTAAATTCTTAAGAATTTTTTTGATGCTTTTATTAAAGAGACCAAAGCAATGTCAGAGATATTTAGCTTTTCAAACTGTAAATGCATACTCCAATGTTACTTTTTATCCCCTAGTATTATTTTACCAAAGCATCTTGTATTAGGATTTGTTATATTTATTTTATGCCTGTGTGAAATAAGTTATGGCCAAGTTTGGGGGAAATAGGAGGCACTGAGATACTTGGGTTTTTTTCCTCCCTGAACATCAGAAATTATCAGGAATAATATTGCCTATTTTCATTTCCTCATTTCAACTTTTGAGTTTTGTTGACTGGGGCACTAAAATTGATTTGTACTTGAGGAGTATGAAAGGATATGGTTAGAGAAAATTATATTATTTTTAAAACATATTTTTTTGTTTACCAGGTAGGAATTTGGGTATATGGATGAGAGGCTACTGTGAAGTATTGGATCTACTTCTGTAGGCCACAGAAGAATACCAGTTGTATTTTTTTCCATGTTGTTAATTCTGGCAATTTAAGCAAAGTAACCATCAACACTTTAATTGAGAATACTTATTAAAATCACATAACTTAGTAAACAGTAGGAAGTCATATGGTAGTTTCAAAATTTTCCATAATGCTGCCTATATGAATCTTTTCATTCTTTGTAGTGTTATAAACATTTAATACAACAGAATTGATGGTAAAATTGAAATTGTATAATTTATGAAATTTTTTTACTTCATTTTAATTTTTTTATTATTTAAATCTTAAAATCATTTAAAGACTTATGTTGCCACTTGGTGGCAGTCCTGGCTTCTCCCAATAACCAACAGAAGTCAGCAAATAAAATTAATACATCATACAAATTTTCATCTTCATTACATCTACTTTTAAAGCCTTTTTAGTTCATATTCCATTATCTTTCTAACTCAATGCTCATTTGTTTATTAAAGTAATTATAAGTGGGTAAATTTAATGGAAATAAAAGTCATGCTTTTTTTGCTGTGAAATCACATAAATATAAATTGAGAAAAATAATTTTAAAGTGGTTGTAGAATGACTAGATAGTAAACATCTTTCCTTAATTTTTAACATACATTTGATAATGTTTTCTTTTTGTTCTCTCTCTCTCTGCGGTTTTTTCCCTCCAGTCTTTCTTATGAAAAAAATGTTTGTAAAAAAAAGGAGCAATTAATACTTTGCATCACAGACATGAACCATTATAGCAAACCCCACTGAGCTGATATATAGCAGAACTTTGAGAGAAAGTAGGAATGGACTAGCATTGGAAGCAGAATACAGATTTCTGTGCCCTAATAAGGTTTATTGTAGTTATAGAGTTTGAATAGTTACAATATTATGTGTGCCAATACTTTAATGTGTGCCAATAATACCTATTGTGTGCTGTTACGGGATGAAAACCTTGCTGGAAACTATTTTGTACTTCACCATTTTATCAATTCTTAAAAAGTCTTAACCCCATCCTTACACTGATGACTGTTTTTATAAGCATGAATTTTACTTGAAATAATTTTCTTAATGGAAACAACCCTAGAAAACATATATTTAGTTAGGTAGTAGCAGTATTTGTACTAATATTAGAAATCAGGTCTCCTTAATCCCAGCCTGGTTTCTGTATCTTGACACATTGCCACCTGTAGGGTTTTTTTTGAAACTAGGAGGATCTTGGGAAGAGCAGTATTACAGGAGGATCCTAGGAAGAGCAGTATTACATTACTTCCACATGTGAGGAGATGCTTAGCTATCAAGCTTAAATGCATGTAACACAGATGACCCTGCCTAACCCACTTCTACAAATAATTTCTCCAAAGTCTTGGAAGGTTTTTTAGAACATTATGGAAGCTCAGTAACAGAAAGCTGTTGCTGCTGTATCCCTTATTTGGTCATAAATTCTTAGGATTCAGCAGAATGCAGCCATATTCACACATGTCTATTACTCATATATTACTACATACAGTTAACACATGCACCTTCCACTATTAAAGACTGTTTCACAGATATGTCACTAAACAAAATAGGAAGGCTAAGTGCAATCTATTTCCATTTCTAGAAAAATAAAATGGCCTAGCAGATGAGCAACTTGGATTGTTAGAATAAGGTCATCCTTGTAAATACATGTCATGTAAATTATCTCCAGCTGTAATGCTTTATCTAATCTGGAGGTTGCAAAGAAGCTGGATTGCCACCATCTATGAGTACCTTTTTGAGAATTAGGAAAAAGGCACCTTTTTCTGAAGACAGGCCTAGCCCCTTCTTGTCTAGAAGTCTGAATTTCACTCCCTCTTCTTGGCTGGGTGCCTTGTTGAGGGAACATCCAAACACAGTGGCCTTATACAGGAATACTGTTCAATCCACACAGTGCTTTAAAAAATTGCCAACTTTTAAAAATTAGGATTTTACATAAAATTCAGATTTCTAGTTTCTCTTTTTAAATGAGAAGCTAACAACACGAGTTGAATTCTTACAAGTCAGCAATCAGCTGGGATCTAGTGTGATGGTCCCCTTATTTTCAGCAATGTACATGGTGAACAAAGTCAATGTAATGAAGTCTCCTGTCAAATGAAAATAGACGAATCTCTAGATTTAAAACATTTTATCTGGGAAGGAAGAATTGCAATTTGGGACATCTACACAGACTGGGGTGGTCTCTGGTATGTCTGAAGAACAAAGAGAAGATTGGGAGTTTCATTAGATAGAGTCCAGCCTGGGCAACATAGACCCTCCTCTCTATAAAAAAATAGAAAAATTAGCTGGGTATGGTGGCATGCACCTGTAGTCCCAGGTACTCGGGAGGCTGAGGCATGAGGATCATTTGAGCCCAAAAGTCTGAGGTTGCAGTGAGCTATGATGATGCCACTGCACTCTCGCCTAGACAACAGAGCAATGCCCTGTTTCCCCCCAACCCATGCCCCCAAATTACGTATGTTTTGAAAGGAAGCTTATTGGCACTAGAGAAGCTTCTGGGAACTGGCAAGCTCTGATGGGTGTGTGACTGTGGTAGGTGATTTTAGCAACCACTAGGTAAAACTGATCTTAAGGTTATGGCAGGCTGTTTTTACTAAAAAACAGGCAGGGCTTGTGGAAAATTTTGTTCTTGGAGTGGGTACTTTGTTCAAGTGTTTTTCCTCCTTGCCCCTTGAATCTGATTTAGTTGGGTATGACAAGAAGGACCTAATTTGTGGCTGGCATCTCCCTTCTCTTTCTCTGGGATGCCATGCCATTTCCCTGCTCTCTTCCCCCTCTCCTTTTCTCTCTCTCTCTTCATCCCTCCCTCTCCCCAAGAAGGATAAAATAAACTTTTTTACTTTTCTGTCTTAAAAAGAAAATGACCTAATTTGTATAGTGGAGTTTCATACTCCCAACCCTCGTCCCCCTAGTTTACTGCTGATCCCTGTTTTTCCTGTAACATGGAGAGTTTTTGGCTTGGAATCTGGAAATTTTTATTTTTCAGAAACACCTCAGATACATTGTCCAAATCAATAAGGAGTATAGCATTACAGTGTAGTTTAACTTTTCCATTTAAATATTTTGCTAGAAGATAAAGAGGGTCTTTTATAATCTTACATTTATATACATCTCTTTCCAAATGGCTTCACAACTGTTTGTCACTTTTTCCTTAAAGGACATTTAATATAGGGTAAATGATATCCTCATTTTATGTTCTGAACAGCTAAATGCTAAATTACTGGTTCTGGGGAAAACCATTATTAGAAGCATTGGCTTGCTACTTTCTTCTGATAAGCTGGGTCTGTTGGTATTTAGCAAGTTTATGTGACTCAACTTTGTTGTCTTTTAAACACTTGACAGACCAGCATAATATGCATGTGCCACACCCCAATTTCTTGCTGTCACATGACCTAACCCAAGTGACTGAGGTATTTCTAGTATACTAATGAAGTGCTCTTTTGATCTGAAAGAATACAGTTTGCTGGGACTTGTTTAATGAATAGAACCTAAATTGGGCTCGCTGGTTTTGAAGAACAGGAGGAGTTGTTTTAGTTATCATTAGCTGTGTTTACAAGGTAAATGTTTCAAACCAAAGTGTCCTTGAGAATGTTTCCTGGTAGTTTTAAGTAGACATCTAAGGTAGTTAAGGTATTTAATTGCTTTAAATACATTTCTAGACACAGATAATTTATATCTTAGACTCTATGGAGAAACTTTGCAGATAGCCTTTGGAGACAAAAAGGTGTATTCCAGAATGAAACTCTTAATGTTGTCTATTTTAGGCTAAGCATTGATGTTTTTTGAGCACTTATGAAAGAAATTAGTAATCCCTGAATACACTGGGCTTCTTTAGGGCAAGTTATGCCAAACAAACTTGGGTTTTTTTTTTTGTTTTTTTTTTTTTTATTTCAGCAAATTACAGGGCTACAAATGTTTAGGTTACATATGTTGCCCTTGCCCACCTGAGTCAGAGCTTCAAGCATGTCCATCCCCCAGGTAGTGCACATCTCACTCTTTATGTATGTAGATTCCCTTCCCGCCCCCACCTGCCTGACACCCGATAAATGTTATTCCTATATGTCCACTTAGGTGTTGATCAGTTAATACCAATTTGCTGGTGAGTACATGTGGTGCTTATTTTTCCATTCTTAGGATACTTCACTTAGTAGAATGGGTTCCAGCTCTATCCAGGAGAATACAAAAGGTGCTATATCATCATTGTTTCTTATAGCTGTATAGTACTCCATGGTATAAACATACCACATTTTATTAATCCACTCATATATTGGTCACTTGGGTTGTTTCCACATCTTTGCAATTGTGAATTGTACTGCTATAAACATTCGAGTGCAGATGCCTTTTTTGTAGAATGTCTTTTGTTCTTTTGGGTAGATGCCCAGTAATGGGATTGCTGGATCAAATGGTAGTTCTACTTGTGTCTCATTGAGGTATCTCTGTATTGCTTTCCACAGAGATTGCACTAGTTTGCAGTCCCACCAGCAATGTATGAGTGCTCCTATCTCTCCACATCCAGGCCAACATTTAATTGTTTTGGGACTTTTTGATAAAGGCCATTCTCACTGGAGATAAGTGATATCTCATTGTGGTTTTGATTTGCATTTCCCTGATGATTAGAGATGTTGAGCATTTTTTCATATGTTTCAAACAAACTTGTTTTGATATATTTTCTAGACAAGGGTGACATTGTAGAGAACTAATACTGATTTTGTCAGAGTATATGATAATCTGGTGTCAAGAGGAAAAAAATATATATGAAGTGTTATATCTATTAATATATATATATGATTGTGTGTCTGTGTGTTTAGCTTTTGGAGGTAATTATTCATCTATCCATCCAGCCAAACCACTTCACATGTTTGATTGCTCAGGCTGTTCTAGTGATATAATAGTGAAGAAAATGGACCAAGTTTTCAGAAACTTGTATTTTAGTGATGTGATGCCTAATGGAGAAGAGTTCTGAATTAAAAATAGAGCAATTGAGGTGGTTGGAGAGTAAGGGTGAGGGTGTTAATTTATATAGGATGATCAAAAGTGGTCTTTGGTAAAATTGATCTTTGAGCAATATTGTGTGGTCCACGTAATACAATCACAGATGACTAGGATTAACTAGAGATTGAATGAAATACAGCAACCAAAATCATTTGAAAATTATGTAGATCTTCAATTATAGAGCATTACTTCTGGTTTTCAAATTTTAAAATTGACTAAAATGGTATTTGTTGTTTTATTTAAATGTTGAACACTTAACTACAAAGGCCTATTCTAAATAAACCCTGATTCTCCATCTTAAGAGGAGTTGTCTGGGGGAATGTCACATAGAAAAAAATCAGTTATAACTACAGAAAGAGGACAGTTTGGCAGACTTAAGTGTTTTTTGTGTGTTTGTTTGCTTTGAGGAATTTTTTCCCTAAGAAAACAACGGAGATCAAGGAAGGTTAAGTTTCTGATGACCAGATGATAAACATTAGAGAGGAGTTGAAAAACTGAAGCATGTCTAGAGGAAATTAAAAGAGGATGCAGGAGCCCTGAGAATCGGAGCTCGAAATTGTGTAGAAATGACACCTGCAGTAAACTTGGTGGAAAGAGGAGTTAGAACAGTCTAAGACGAGGAATTTTACTGTTTTGATTCCCTGTTACTTCTAGAAAGAAAAAAATATTGAGATAGTTACAACTAAATGTCAGATGTGCTAAATACACAGGACATAGATATTTAGGAATCTTGGTGCAAAGAGAAGGAATTATTCTGTGCTAATTAGGACAAGGGAGGTTACTGGAATGGAGTAATTGAGCATGTAGTCCATGCCAGGACACCAGGGCCTATTCTGGACTTGCACAACCCTAAGAGTGAATTTTGCACCACTCAAATTTTGCACCCTAGTTGCTTCCCTTGTTTCATTCTAGTCCTGGCCCTACAGGGCACATAGAGCTTAGGAGTCTTCTCTGTGGCCATCAAACTTCCCATCCCACCCCACTTCCTCTCTTTACCTCTCCATAAAGCCCTTTTATCTGCTTGCTTTTTCTTCCATACTTAAATATCAGATTTAAGTGGCAGACAGTGTAATGGGGAAAAAAGTCTTATTTCTAAACCCCACTGCTTATGATAAGAAATATTAATAGCTCCATTCTTCCAGCAATTCATCTGCAGATATGGATGATCCTCCAACTCTGTGGAAAGCACTGGAAATTAACCAGAAGTGCAGGCAACAGGAGACAGGATAGTTTGGTTTAGGCATGTTGCATAGACAAGTGATCACAACCAGTTGATGAGGTGGTATAGAAAAAGTACCCCAGAGTTAGAAGAGAAAGGCAAAGTTAGAGTTGGAGATGTTCAGGCAAGGATAGGGGCTAGCAGGAGAAGCACAGCCTTTCAGAAATCCTCATGCGATGATATATGACCCAGACAGAGGCGGATGGTCTGAGTTTCTTGTTGGGTCATGACTCAGGCTTGGAAGAACTGTCATTGAAAAGCTCTGATAGATGACATTCCTCTCAGTGCCCCTTGAAGTGTTCTGAGCCAGGACATACTTGCACTGGCTTGTAAAGGATTGGCAAGGCCCTTCTGCCTTGTCAGAGCATGGCAGTGCTGGGCAGAGTCGTCTTGACAGGGACTCATGCCCAGATAGAACTATCCATCTTAAGATCTCAAGGCTTGGTGAACAACTCTCCTTCCTCATCCATAGCATAGCTAAAGGAGTCTTATTCTTTTTTCCATTTTTTCTGTTTACTTACCCTTTCCTTTTCATCCTCTAATTCAGTCGGTATTCCCCTCAACCTTTCCATCCTTGGCCTTGCTCGTGTCATTCTTCCAGTTGGAATGCTGAGCAGTGAATGCATCTCTCCCTCTCCTACCCAAATCTAGATAGGTACATCCTTGGAAGCCCATATTGAGGGCTGCCTATTCTCTAATGTCTTTGCTAATCTCTTTTTATTCTATTTTTACATTACCGAGAACTTTAGAGTCTTTTTGCTAATCTCTTGGATCACTCCTCTGAGCCCTTCTGACGCACTGTGAGCATTCCTTTGGTTCTAACTAGGAGGCAGTTAAGGTGAGTGAAAAGAACTTGGACTTAGGCAGACCTTAGTTAGAATTCCTGTTTCCATTCCTGACTAGCTCTGTGATCTACAGTTAAGTGTATTTACCTGAGTTCTGTGCCCTCATCTGCAAAGTGAAGAATCAAATCTTACCTTGCAAGTCTGTTGTACAATATATGAAAATGTATATAATGTGTGGAAAGCCTTTAGGACAATTCCTGGCTGATAGTAGATACCCAATACACACTGGCTTATATTGTTAACTTTTGATATGCTGGAACTGAACAGAAATGGCTTTATTTAGGAGAAAGGAATCAGGAGGCCAATACTGGGAGAACAGAGGTAGGACTGGGGACAGGTATTGAGGCCATGTATGAAGCACTCCAAATTAGGTCCCCAGACCTAAAGGCAAGGCAAGACATGCTCAGACACTAGGGGAGCAGTGAGATATTGTGTACAAGCAGCTAGTGACCAGAGGTCAAGGCACAGATTTAGCCATTGGGCTGAGATCAAGGAGAATATACACCAAGTGTTCATGACTATGGTTTAGTAAAAAGATATACAGCCAATATTTACTGTACACTTACTTTGTGCCAGAGCCTGTTCTAAGTGTACCATCTCATTTAGTCCTCACAATAGCCTTGAGTTAGGTATTATTATAATTGTTCCCAGTTTACAGATGAGAACACTAAGGCAGGTAGTTTAAATGACTTGTCTAAAGAAACACAGTAAGTGGCATAGCCTGAATGCCAACCTAGGCAATCTGGCTCCAGAGCCCATGCTTTTAAACTACTGCTTTCTAGTAGATCCCTTCAACTAAAAGCCTTTCTTTGTTGGTCCAGAGGCCAAATTGAAAGATGTGCAGCCAGCAAAGAGCAAATAAGTCCCTAATTTATTTATTGTTAATATTATTAATGTAACAAATGGTTGGTAAACCATTTGTGAATCCCTACTGGATTCCTGTACTATGCTAATGTGCTCTGTGTACATTCTTCTTTAATTCCCACAACTATTATGCAAGGCATTATTGTATCTATTTTATAAATGAAAAAAAGAAAAGGCTCGTGGAGTTGTTTTCTTCCCCTTTGCATCAGAAGAGCACTACTTTTTCCATCTACTCCTCAACCCGCAGCTATCTAGCTTCTGCTCCAAGCCTTCCACTGAAACTCCTCTTACTGAGTTTACAAATAACCTTCCAGTTGTGAAATCCAGAGGACATTTTTCAATGATTAACTCACTGGACCTCTCTTCTGCATTCCCCTTGACAATCACTTTATGCTACATTGTTTCCAGGACCATGTCTCTGACCTATTTCTTTTTTCCCCTGTATCTCCCCATTTCTTTTTTCTTGCCCTACTCTGTAAATGTATGTCTTCTTCAGGGGCACATCCACAGCCTTCCTGAATCTACATATGCTTCTTGGATGGTCTCACCCAGTGGTCTCAGCTACCACTGAAATGCTGGAGGTAGGGGAGATGATAGCATACCCTTGACACCCATCAACTTCAGACAAAGATTATTTACATGCTGGAGACTCTTGTCCATATAAGCATCTCAAATTCAATTGTATCAAGCTGAACACATGCAACCTTTTTCTGCACCACCCCCAGTCCTGACTCCACCCCACCCTCTATTATTTCAGTTGAGGTGCTGCTATCCACCCAATCAATTACCCAAACCCAGAACCTGAAAGTCATGTTTGGCTGCTCTTCCCATACCCTCAGTACAGTGCCCTGTACTGTTTTCTCCACCCTAGTCAAAACTTTTTTAAAAGAAAGCTCAAAGCACAAATGCAGAGAATGACATGATCAGATTTGAGCTTTCTACCCTTACTTTGACCTTCATTGCTCTCAGGATAAATTCGAAGGTCCTCAACAAGGCTCAAGGCTCAAGTCCTCCTCAAAGCTCCCTGGAGTCCTGTTTCTGTCTGCTGTTGAGCCCCATTTCTTGCCACTTCAACCTTGCTCTCCAGTTACACCTAACTTTTTGTGATTTCCTGAACACACTATGCCTGGCTGATTTTTTTCAGATTTTAATACTCAGCCCCAGAGTCACCTCCTTCAGGAAGCCTTCTGTGATCCTATAGGCTGGGATATATATTCACATGGTTCATGTTTTGCCTTAATGCTCCTATATTCCCTTATGAATATTTCTGTCACTTTGTTTTTAGTATTGATTTATGATTATTCCCATGTCCATCTTTTCCACTAGATGGGAAGTCCTTGCTGAGGGAATACACTATTGAATTCCCAGGATCTAGCCTATAATAGGCCCCTCAGTGAATGTTGCTTGAATGAATAAATAAATGACTAACTTTCCCAAGCTTATGTTACAAATAAGTTCTGAAAGTGGAACGAAAATATGTTGTACTCTGAAACTCATGTTCATTCTGCTTACTGTATTTGCATCACAGGGTAGTTAAGAGTCCTTAAAGAGCTGATTTTTTTTTTCTTTATATGTACATAAAGAGCTGAATTTTAAGGGGCTAAACCTCCCTATCATAAAATTTTCCTTCCAATTTTTAAAATTAGTTTTAATTTTTTAGTAATATATTCACATGGTTCAGCAATCAGTATAAAAAATTGTCAAATTTTTTCCCAATTCTTACTCCTTTTGCCCCAAGATAACCAGCCTTGTTTCTTATATCTCCTTTCAGATTTTCTTTTTGCCAATGCATGCAGATATAAACATTCTTTTTCACCTCCTTTTAGAAAGGTATTGAAATTTTTTTTAACTTCTCTACTTTTTCTTAAGTGAGTATATGCTAACAAAAAGAGCTAACCAGTACCCAGCTTGAATGAATTCACAGAAGGATACTTGGAAGAAGACAGCTATTTAATAAGGCCGGAGGGCGATAATCCTGCCTGCTCACTGGCCTCTACGGACATCCCGGGCCTGCAGGAGAGAGCCTGTGATGCAAGTATCTCCACTAAGCAGATTCTCAAGCTCCCTAGAGTTACCTTTTCTCTGGAACTTTTCCAGGCCACTCCCCCTGATGCAATATCTAGGTTTGGGCAGAAAGGAGGGTGCTGCAGAGCCCGCCCTTTCTGAGCTTTCTGGGCCGTCTCTGGCTTCTAAACCATTTTCAGGCTTCACTGTGACTCAGACCTCAGCTCCAACATATGCGTTCCGAAGCAAGGTGGCTGAGATGGGCAGAGTGCTTCATTCTGGAAGGAAATTATGTTCCAGGTCAAACTGAGTCTACCAAACACAGACCTTCACAGTGGTTCTAAAAGAAATCTGGACAAGTCTTATCATGTGGTTTTTCTACGCCTTAATTCCATGTTTGCTCACAGGTAAGTAGGAATTAGAATACAACATTCAATAATTTGGGCCTTGAATATAGGTTAAGAAGGTGAAAAATGCTTTCTCAGAGTTTGGGTTGAAATATCTGTATAGAACATCTTATGTCTATTTTATGAAAGGTTTCTCACCTAAACCTTCATCCCCACATTGCAAAGGAAAGAAAAGGCCTTCTTTCTTTCTTCTCACCTCCACAGAACACTCTAGAGAGATAAATCATCAAAATAGTCTAAAGGTTAGCAGAGCTCCATGCATTTTGTTATTTATCTCAGTATCTAGTTTTAAAGGGTACAACATAGTTCTGTCAGTCTTTCCGTGTGTGCCTTGGAGATGTTAACTGTACGGACAGATTAAAGGGAAACAAAGATTCTAACAAAGTACACATGAATAAAAAGATAATGTGTGGACTTTATATTGGGTACAAGACTCATAAACAATTGGATTTCTCTCCTGGTCATTGCTGAAAAGGTACTTCATAGCATTTAAAAAAATATTTGGTTTGGGGCATTTTCCTTGCCAGTAAGATTACGTAATTTTCTCTTCCTCACTTCTGGTTGCATGTACCTACCTGCTTTATTGTTCCAAAGTTGCAGCTGCTTAGTCTTTGATGTTTGTTCATGTCAAATCACATTTAAGAGAAATTTTAAATTTGAATACTCTGATATCAGGCACTTTGCATTCTCAGTGTCAATGAGAGCCTTAAGTACTTTCTGGTTTTTTTGTTTTTGTTTCCACAGAACTAATTATTTTAGTTTTAATCAGGCAACAAATCAGTGCTAAGTCTATTTGTAAATGTGTAGAACTGGCTTAAACATCAGATATATGATCTTCCTTCCTAGCTCAAAAACCTTCACAGCACCCAACTGCTCAGCACATGGTGTCCAAATTCTGCTGTGTGTTTCTCATGATCCGGCAAATTCAGGCCTCATCCTATTTTGTTTATTCAACCCTATTTCTCACTACTCCTTGAAAGCAAATATAGACTGTAGGCAGCTGCTGTCTTCACGGTCGGCATATTATACCTTCATTTCCTCCTCCTGGCCTTTATTGTAATAATTTCCCATCAGAAGCACCATCTCCACTTCCTTTCCCTATCCCAAGCGTATGCTCCCATCATCATTCCAAATGGGTCCTTTTTCCTACGTCCCTTTCCAAGACCTCTCTCTCTCCTTTGACCCCGTATATGCTAGCTTCAATGGAATACTTCTCTTTTCAGCACTGGTCTGAGGGCAGGGCATCTTTCTTAGTATCCCTACAGCCCCTAGCATAGGCTAAGCTTGCTGCTTGTTTGGTTAGTTAGTTGTTTGGTTGTTTAGCTGTTGGGACAAAAAAGTTGACAAGGAAATATTCCTCCAGTAAGCCAAAGGGAAGAGATGGAAGACCAAATGAGAAGAGGAAAGACCAGCATTTTTTAACTTGACATTTTCTTCAATGAGTTCAGTCTTTTCAGTCTTTTCTTAAAAACTCCTGTTTCAAAAAGACTTGGAGGTGAGTGTGCTCTTCTGACACTTCTAAACTTACACAGAGAAAAACAAACAAAAAGCAGTGGTGAAAATCACTTGGATATTGGAGCAGCCAGAAAGACCTGTGTGTGAGTTTCGGCTCTATAACTTACCAACTCGGGGACTAGATCATATAACTTCTAGTTTCTTTATCTGTGAAATGGTCATACTAGCCACCTTGAGATAGGGAGGACTTAAATAAGATGATGTAAACAAAATCATTTTGAAAACCTCAACATGCCCCTACCCCCAAATGTTAGTTATTATTAATATTATCTGTTGGTTATACAAACAGATGGTGGTGTCAGCAGATAGTTGCTTTTGCTAAGGTTGCCTTTATGCAATTTCCTCTGGCATAAGTAGGTGCCTGTGATGAATTCTGCAAATTCTAAATAAACTTCTATTAGATACTAGATCAGTGGACAGATGGATAGAGTTGTTGCATTCTTTCATAGAAATCATTTGTCTTGCCCTGTCCCTTCCAAATGTAGTGTGTGATTCAGGAAACTGATTCCTGCTGCCAATAATAATAACAATAACAACAATGACAATCACATCTACCATTTCTGAGTGCACACTGTGCCCTAGGTCTGCAAATATGTTCTCTTGACTTCTCACGTCAATCCTGCAAGATAGGTGTTTTTATTCCTATTGTAAACATTAGTAACAGAGACTAAGAGAGATTCAGTTATTTGTCCAAGTATATATTAATACATCTAGTTAAGTGGGAGAATTGGGATTTGACTCCAGCTTGGTGGGCCCCAGAGCCTGTGCTCTTTATACTGCTCTGCAGAAGAAGCTGAGACATTGAAAGAGGCCAGGAAAAGGGAGGAGGGATGAAGTAAAGGAAATAAAGATGGTACTGCCTTTCATGACACATTTGTTTTAAAAAACTGTTGGATGTAAGGTGGTAGAAGAAGATCCAGATGTGGGGAGTTGATGTCAGACCCAGTGGGGTCCTTCTAGGGAAGAGATACAAAGATTTCTGCCTGCAAGTTTGCCCGAAGCCTTTGTGATGGGTAGCCTTCATGCTGCCTCCCTTGTACTGACTCAAGATTTTAGGAAATAGGTGTTTAGCAACAAAAGGCTCTAATTGAAGATGGATGAGGGATTAGGAAAAAAGAAGTCAGGCCTAGGCTAATTGCCCTAAGGGAGCCGAGACTTGGTTCACTTGTTCAATTTTCATTCATTTAGCATTTCTGAGCACCTTTTATGTACCGGTTCTGGTCTGGGTATTGATTAGATATGCAAAAAAGAGTCCCTTGCCTTCATGGAATGTAAGAGCCTGCTGGGAAATACTCTGAAGTCTTTTGCATTTGGGAATTTAACATAGTTGTAACTATTCTTTAGACCCTAGAAGTAAGGTCTAGATCAGTGGCTCCCATTCTCAAGTGCACATTGGAATCATCTGGAGAAATTTTAAAAACATAAATGCTGGGACTTTAGAGCTTGAGGTCTGGAATTAATCTAAGGTGCTGCCTGATACTGAGATTTTTTTAAACTCCCTGAGTGGGGCTCCTTAGAGACATGGTTGATTCCAGGGCTGGGCAGGAAAAATGCAAGATGAGACAAGAGCGTTTTGTGGTTAAGTAGTAATGAAGTGCTTAAAAAGGGACAGAAGACTAAGTGCAACATAGTACCTTGGATTGGATCCTGAAATGGAAAAAAAGACCTAGTGGAAAAACTGGTGAAATCCAAATAAAGTGTGGAATTTAGTTAATAGCAATGTACTAATGTTGGTTTCTTAGTTTTGGTGTATTTTGGTGGTTTTTTTTTTTAACTTGTCACTGGCTTGAAGCTTAAGTTTCTTACTTTTGACAAGTGTGTCATAGTCACATAAGATATTAGCATTAGGAGAAGCTGGGTGAAGGGTATACAGAAACTCTGTGCACATGTCTTTACAATTTTTCTAAACATCTAAAATTATTCCAAAAAAAATCTATTAATAAAATAATATGAAAAAAGGGGATGGGAGCAAGCTAAAAGGACACAAGCATTAACCTGAAGGAATTCTCATGGGACAAAGTTGGAACAATTTGAGTAGCAAAATGAATAACAATAGTGTTAGACTTTTACCAAGAATAAAATAAATATCCATGAGTCTATGCTGATATAAATAATTGAATAAATAAATAAATAGTAAAGAAGGAATAGCTCTTCCTTACAGAAGAATTCAATTAAGTAAAAAAATCATTATTAGAACATCACAGCAATAATTGTTATGAGAAATATCCACCAATAGATGTTAAAATTAATGGGTGAAAGTTTGAGGAGAAGCAGGATGTTTGCATAGTCTCAAAATGTCTCCCCCAAAGTATTTTGTTAACTATAAAGGAGAAAATGGTAGCTTTATAGCAGAGACAGTGCCTTAACCAAGTGATCGAGGTGATTAGCGTCACCAGTAATAACACATATTGACGTCACTTGCTCCCTGGGAATACATGGCAAAAACGTATAACCTCAATCAAAGCATAGGAAAACATCAGACAAAACCAAACTGAGAAATATTCCACAAAACAGCTGACCAGGACTCTTCAAAAGTGTCAAGGTCATAAAAGACAAAGACAAATTGAGAACAGATTGGAGGAGACAGACTAGATCTGAAAACTAAATGTGGAATCCTGGGGAAAAAAAGAGCACTAGGGGAAAACCTGGTGAAATTTGAATAAACACTGAAGCTTAATGTTATTGTATCACTATTAATACCTTACTTTTCATATTTGTACTATGGTTTGTAGCTATGAACAGCTGACAAAGGACATATGACAGCTCTTTGTATTATTTGACAGAGCTCCTATAAGTCTGAAATTATTTCAAAATACAACTCATCTGTTCACCATTTCACTGGACTAACTTCAGGGTATGGACAGGACTGTGTTCCTTCTGGGGGCTTTCCTTGTCATTCCTAGCTTCCAATGGCCACCCATGTTCCTTGCTCATGGCCTCCCTTCCATGGTATGGATGTACCACAGTTTGTTTAACCATTCACTTGTTAAAGGACATCTGGGCCTATTCCAGTTTGGCTATGAGCATCCATGTGTAGGTCTTTTGTGACATCAATTTTCACTTCTCTGGGACAAATGCCCAAGAATGCAATTACTAGATCATATAGTGACTACATGTTTTACAAGAAACTGTCAGACTATTTTCCAAAGCAAATGTAACATTTTACATTCCTACCAATAAGGTAGGTGAACCCTTTGCCAATGCCACACAGTCTTAATTATTGAAGGTCTTGGAATTTGGTAGATTGATTCCTTTCACTTTATTTATTTATTTATTTATTTTTCAAAATTGTTAGTTACTCTAGTTCCTTTGACTTTTCTTATAACATTTAGAAAAAGCCAATCTATACTATTAAAAAACCTTACTGGGATTTTGATAGGAATTGCCTTAAACCTATATATCAATTTGGGGGAGAATTGTCATCTTATTTATGTTGAATCTTCCAACCCATGAAAACGTATGTCTCTCCATTTATTTATATCTTATTTACTTTCTTTCAACATTATGGAGTTTTCCTAATACAAATCCTGGATATATTTTGTTAGATTTATACCTGTGTGTTTTTTAATGATTATAATTTTCATTTATGTGTATATGTTTATTGCTGGCATATAGAAATGCAATTAATGTTTATGTTTATATTGTATTCTGTGAACTTGCTGAACTCACTAGTTTTAGAAGTTTTGCTTTTTGTATTAGTAGATTACATGGATCTTCTACATAGCCTATCATGTCCTCTGAATATAGGGGTAATTTTATTAATCTGTGCTTCTTTTGCTTGCCTTGTTACAGTGACTAGAACTTTCAGTACTGTGTTGAGTAAGAGTGGTGACTCTTGCCTATTCCTGATCTTAGTGGGGAAGCGTTCAGTCTTTCACCCTTAAGTAAGATGTTAGCCATAGCTTTTTGTAGATGGTCTTTATTGAGATAACTCCCTGATGCTCTTAAGTTAAAAAGAGGTTTTTCTTGTTGTTGTTGTTGCTTTTAATAATGAATGAATGTTGGGTTTTATAAATCCTTTTTCTGTGTCAATTGATATGATTTATGATTTTTCTTTTAATGGTGGATAACATTAGTTGATTTTTGAATGTTGAGCCAACCTTGCATACCTGGAACAAATCTCACCTAATCATAGTGTATAATTCTTTTTATACACTATTGGATTTGGATTGCTAATATTTTGTTGAAGATTTTTGTATTGAAGTTCATACTATTGGTCTGTAGTTTATATATTTATAAGATGTGTGTGTGTGTGTGTGTGTGTGTGTGTGTGTGTGTGTGTAGTCTTTGTCTGATTTTGGCATCAGGATAACACTAGCCTCTAAAGTAAGTTGAAAAGTTTTCTTTCCTTTTCTATGTTTTGCAAGAGATTGTGTAAAGTTGGTGTTAATTGTTGTTTAAATGTCTAATAGCATTCTCTAGTGAAACAATATGGGCCTGGAGATTTCATTTCTGAGAGCTTTAAAATTATATAATTAAATTATATTAATGAATGAATGAATTCTATTAATATGTAATTTAATCATGTAATTTAACTAACTAGTTACATAAAATCTGGCTTTATATTTGTATAGCTTTATATTCCCCAAATAGCTGACTAGAAAAATGTCTTTTGCTTACTAGAGGATGGGTGTCAGAGGGGACCAGTTCCTGCCTTCCCAGGCCACCTCACCCCCAGCTGGCCCTTTTCCTTTCTAGCCCTTGCGTGACTTCAAGGTTAGGGTGGGGATGTCAGGAAACCTCCCATGTGGGTGCCCCAGGTGTTTCCTCACAGTGCAGGCACTGGATGCTGAGGGGGAGATGGAGGCATGTCACCAGGGTCCTACATTAGAGAAGAGGCAGGAGAACCAGGCAGGACATCCCCAGCAGGCCCCCAACTGCTCGTGGTCACAGGGTGGCAGGAGCCTGCATGGACTTGCCATGCAGGAGTGGGAGGGTCAGGTTTATGCAACTTGCTTAAGGTCACATAGTAAATGGCAGAGTCAGAGTCAAAGCCTGGATCTAGGCTAATCTGACATAAGAGTTATAAATACATTTTTTAAAAAAGAGTCATAAATAATGTGCCTCAGTTTTCTCATTTGTACAACAGAGAAACTAATAGTCTTTACCTCCCACTGTGGCCTTGAGGATTCAATGAGAGAATCATGTAACAATCTAGGACATGGCCCAGATAGAACATGGTAAGTGCTCGATAAATATTAGTCACTGTTAATATTAATATGTCATTTTATCACCAAAGGTACAATAACAATGATGATAGCACAAGTTTAGCATTAACACAATATGATGAAATTAGAGTTGTTCCTAGTTCATAAACACATGAGGCCTTTCATTATACACCAATTTGAAGCTGTGCATTCCCCCACTACAAGCCCACCTGTCAGCCTGTCTATCTGCCTTGATCCCAGGTGCAGTGGCCATTCTACCTGCCCCTCAGAACCTCTCTGTACATTCAACCAACATGAAGCATCTCTTGATATGGAGCCCAGTGATCATACCTGGAGAAACAGTATACTATTCTGTTGAGTACCAGGGGTGAGTTGTTTTATTTTTTAAGTTTTTCTCCCTTAGATGTCAGTTGGTTCCTGAAAGCACAGCCCTTCCTCCTCAGCTCAAGGAGGCTTTGTGAGTCCAGGGATAGCTTACCTCCGGTGATCTGCCTCCTCAGTCTGCATGGGCATTGAGAAAATTGAAGAAGCAAGGGAAACTGCCCTGTGGATTTGACAATGGACTCTGTGGGAACACAAATGTGTATGAGCACATTGTGGTGGAGCTTCTTGTCAGCAGTGAGTCACCAGCTGTCTAATGACTTTGACTCTGACTGGAGATGGATAAATCCTTGGGGACTCAGAGCCTTTGGGGGTTGGGAGACCCCAGTTTTCTTGACAAGGTACTTATAGATAGGTGCTAAAACAAACTGACCCTAAAGTTCAGCTGGCCGTGGGGCCAAGGAAGCTCTAGTTTTCTACAGGTGTCCGGATGCTTGCAGCTATGAGGAGTGACAGGGGCACCAATATATGCTCAATATATTTCATTAACAATGTCTACAAACAACAGCTACATGTGTAGACATTCTTCTAGGCTCAGGGATACATTTGACAAGGTTTCTGGATATTAGGACCTTACATCTAGAGTAGGAGACAGACAGTAAATATACTAGGTCTGCATTCTCCAATGTGGTAGCCATTAGCTATAGGTGGCTATTTTAATTTAAATTAATTAGGTTAAATTAAATTAAAATGTCTGTCTCCCAGTCCTACTAGTCACATTTGAGGTGCTCAATAGCCACACATGGCTAGTGGCTACCATATTGAACACCACCAATCTGTGAACATTTTCGTCATCACGGGAAGTTTTCTATGGCTCTAGGAAATTTCAGATAGTGATCGGTGCTAGGAGGAAGCTAAAAGGCTGATGCAATAGGGAATTGACTCTGTGGCTCCTTTACATTGGGTGGTCAGGGAAAGCCTCTCTGATAAGGTGATATTTATACCATATCTGAAGGACAGGAGGAGGCAGCAGGGCAGAGCATTTGGGACAGTGTGAACAGCTCACAGAGGTCCTAAGGCAAAAAGAGCTCAGCATTTTGGAGGAATGACCAGTGTGGCAAGAACATCATGCTTAGGAGAGGGCTAGGAGTCTAGCGATCAGGCTAGGAATCTTATAGGCCATGGGGAAGAATTTGGACTCCATTCTAAGTGCTATAGGAAGCCATTAGGAGAGAAGCATCATGATCTGCTGAGTGAAGAATGGCAGGTGTGCAGGCTGGGAGGCCACAGAAAGGCAAGGGATGATGGTGGCTAAGATTAGGGTGGTGACTGGGGAGATGGAGAGATCTGGACTGTTTGGGGTTTATGCCTCCTCCTCTGGCGAGAAAAGGAGTAAGGGAGAACGGATGGTTGGTGAGGGAGAGAGTGGAGTAACCGGGGTGTGGAGAAAATGCTTATTTTGCTGACCCATAAAAAGTAGGAGAATGAAGGCAGTTACTGGCAACCATCACTGAGCCTGGGTCAAAGGGGCTGGTGTGACTCTGTGCCTTTCTCTCCTCGGCCAGGGAGTACGAGAGCCTGTACACGAGCCACGTCTGGATCCCCAGCAGCTGGTGCTCACTCATGGAGGAGCCTGAGTGTGACGTCACGGATGACATCACGGCCACGGTGCCATACAACCTCCGTGTCAGGGCCACACTGGGTTCACAGAGCTCAGCCTGGAGCACCCTGACACAACCCTTCAATAGAAACTCAAGTAAGGCACTTCTCTCCTTGTTCCCCAGTAGACTCTCCTTTAGAATCCATGTTCAGCTAGACTTTTGGGACTCTTTTTAGCATCAAAATCATCTTGCAAAGCCAGAGTGTTGTGAACACAAACAACCTTCACTGGTACATTTGAAAAATGGCCAACTGCTTCCCATGTGCTGTCTCTCTCATGCCCTTTGACTTGGGAAGTCATTCCTGGCTGTCTCTGTCGGGGTTCACAGGCAGTGGGGATGCTGACTGTGGGGACCTTGAAGGAAAGCTGCTCTGGAAGTGGGGAGATGGCACCAGGACTTCTACCCTGATTGTGCCTCCATAAATCTAATACTGTCTGCCATTTGGTACCTCATTAACCCCATAGTCACTGCCTGTGGGAGCAGCTTCATTGTGGGAAAGGATCTATACACTTAACAGAGCCACCAGAAACAGTGGCCCCTCTATGGGAAATAAATAACTCTTCTGTTGCAATGGTACCTGAAAAAAGATTGAGAGAGAAGTAGGAGAAGAATCCAGGTAGATGGCCAAGTATGGCTGAGTGCAGGCAATGGCCAGTGTGTAAAAGGACATGTGTTTTGGGGGAACAGCAGAGGCAAGGGCTGGCGGGGCAGCATCGGGTCATGTGAAGAGGAGCTTTGACATGAAGCTTGATAAAATCAGTAGAGGGGAGCCATGAAAGAGGAGAGGGTCTAGACCAGGTTCATCTTCCAGAACAATCACTCTGGCTACTGTGTGGAAAGTGAACTGGAGCAGGGCAGGGGAGGAGCGAGGAGGGGCTGTAACTTTCTTGCTGAGCTAAGGTGGGTTCTGATCCCAGGAGTGGGGGAGGGGACGAGGAGGAGAAATAAACCCAAGGAGACAAGACAGAGTTAGAAAGGACAGAGCTTGGGGATTGCTTGTTGGGGAATGGAGAGGGGAGAGAGAATGATGGTGCCCAGCTTCTGACTGGGGTTCGTGAGCATGCCAGCCCAGGCAGAGAATCCAGGGGGACCAAGTGGTCTTGAGGAATGGAGACATCTCTGGCTTCGTGGTCTTTGAGATTGAGGTTTCTGTAAGATATTGTATCACAGATGTCTGACTGGCAGCTGGAAACCAGGTCCAGGGCTCAGAGAGGTCACAGCCAGATACACCACACACAGTTAATAGCTAAAGGCTTGGGAGTGGATGAGATTGTGTAGGGATAAAATATGGGGACAAATAAAGGACAGGGTCCTGGGAAACCTCGGGCTTTAAAATGTAGTTGGAGGGAAGGGCACCACGGGGGCTGGGCAGTTAGAGGGTCATAGAGGGGAGAATAGAACAGCTCCTGGGAAGCTCCTGAAAAAGTGACTTTATGGAAGGGAGGAGGTGACCATGTGGCCACTGGGGTGGAGGACTGCATAGAAGTGGGAAGGAGCAAGGCAGCTCCTCCTCTGAGACAGGCATAGGCCAGTGACCAGTTTGGAGCTCTAGGAAAGAAAAGGGAAGGCCTTTGTTGGCCTCTGTTATCTTCATGTGGCAGGAGCCCCTCTGCTGTGAGAGAGGGCAGAGGAAGGTGTGGGGCAGCACTTCCTGCACTGGATGAATCAAAGGTAGCCGAGGAGTATATGGTATTCAGTAGAAATCAAGAGGGTTGGAAGATGGGAGAGCCCAAACTGAAAGAGACTGTGGAAGGTGAAGACAGCTTTGAAGGGGAAGTGGGCCCTGTGGATCAGACAGACGTGGTTCAAATCCCAGCTCAGCTACTTGACAGCTGAGTCCCTGCCTCCACATCTGTAAGAGGGCCAGCAGTTTGCCTCACTGGGTGGTTGTGGAGGCTGCGTGAGATGCAGTGTGTAAATGCTCAGTGCAGAGCTGCCCTAGCGTAGCACTCAGCTATCGATGGTGTCATTACTGTTGTAGCCCTAGGGATGCCCAGAGTTGAGAGCCAGAGTGCAGAGCAGGGAAGGGGTGGGGCAGGAATAGGACTGTCGGGATGGGATACCAGTAGGAATTTTGGTGCAGAATGTGGGCACCTCTGCCCAGGGCTCCTTCCCAGGCACCAGGAGGATTTGATTGAAGTGGCAGGATGACAGTGCCAGGTGCTGGGGGAGGCTAAGGGGTACAGGGAGGCACTGCAGCTCTGCCCCTGTCTGCAGTGCCCAGGCAGCTCCCTGCACTACCAGGCCCTGGGAGCACAGGGCTCCAGCCAAGACCGTCGCTGGGGGTTGGCAGCTGTTGCTAGAAGGCAGGCACGGGTCAGATCGAGATAAGGGAGTGCCTATAAAACTATGTGGGTGGGGGCGTGCAGTAATAACTTGTGCTTAGAAGGCCAGTGTAAACAGGAAAAGGGCTTGCTGCAGGGGGAGTGGAGGAGCATGAGTCTCTGTACTCGCACCAGAAGGTAGAGATGTGGCCCTGTGTGATCTCGGCGAATGGGCTGGGATAGCATCGTGACCTCTTAAGGGTATTAATTCTGTCCTCTTCCATTTGAAAAAGGCCACTCTGACTTCTCCCCAGGCATGTGAAAAATCTTGTTTTAAGGCTCTCCTGAAAAGGATCTCCTACTCTTAAAGGGAAACCTTGTTGTAAGCAGAGGTTTTTCACCTGGACTACATTTGAGTCCTAGGGGAGCTTTAGAACCACTTAGATCTGGGGCCCATGCCCAGAGTCTGATTTAAATGATCTGTGTTTATCCTGTTCACTGGGAGCTTAAAATTCTCCCCAAGTTATTCTCATGTACAGCCAGGGTTGAGATCCACCACTGTAGAGGCTGAACACCCCATATGGGGGAGGGTAGAAGTGTAGAAAGACATGGGCTCAAATTCTGGCCATTAACTATTTGACTCTACGCATGTCACTTAACCCCTCTGTACAACCGGAACAGTATTTACCTTTTTAAGCTTCCTGGGTGGATTAAATGAGATAAATATGCAGATTGCAGAGGACAGAGGCTCCTGCCCCACCACTGTCAAACAATTCTCTGAAATGAAACTTCAGGTCTTTTTCTGTGATTCTATTCTTAATAAAGATGGAGATCAGAGGACCCAGTTCTAATCATGTCTGACTTAAAAGTGTAGGAGTCATTACCTCTTTCCTCTGGGAAGTGTTTCAGAGGTAGTGCTCGTGGTGCCACGTGGTCACATGAAGCCTCCGGACTGGGCATATTTTGCACGGTTGGCTCTGGCTCCCAAGTCCTCCTGTTCCCCACCAGGCTCCAGTGACCGGGTAGACACTCTTCCCTGATGAGCCAGGTGAGGGGGAAGTGCTTTGCTCTTGGAAAACTCCCTCCAGGAACTGCTTTTCTTCTGAGTGTCCACTGACCCTAGTGTGGAGGATTTAGCCCAGAGCACACCCCACCAAACTTCCCAAGCCAAGCCCTTCTGGCCCCACAGCGTCTGGGGCTGAGAGACAAGCGTGGCTCCATCACCAGCAGCCAGGGAGCAGAGACTGCCTGTGCGGGCCCTTCTGTTCTTGGCCTGCTAAGGCAAATTATCTACAGGGGTGCCGGCCTCTCTATTTGGAACCCAGCAACATGAAAGATGATGTTTGTGCCCATGCTGTAATTTCTTGATCATCAGAATTTATAAAAAGCCTCTGACTTGCCAACATCCCTTTGTCAAGATATGAGATGAAGGAATCTTGGGCTGAAAATAGACTGGCCAACCCATTCACAGGCTGCTGATCTGCTGCTGTTTGAAAATCATCAGAAGCCAGTACACGCCACTGATCTGTGTGAGCTGTGGGGAGGCACATGCCCCCCACATATGTGTTCATTCCTCAGGGGCAAAGACTGGGCCTGACTGTGCTCAGTGTAGACCTGAGCTCGCATAGGTATTTGGCAAAAATTGAGAAACAGCATCTGCTCACTGAGGTGAGCCAAAGTGAGGAGCAATTTCTGCTGAAAAAGAGTGGTGGAAGGGAGGGGCATCGATCATAAACTTTTAAAAGGGAAAGAGATAATGTTTACTTGAGTATTTAATTACTTTTCTTTTATATGTGTGCCTCCTGGAGAAGGAACAGAGGACTTTATTATAGTTAAGGGATTTTTTAAAAAGGAGAATCGTAAGCATTTGTTGTTTATCATTCATTCATTCATTATTCAAAAAGCATTTACAGAGCACCTGCTGAGTACAAGAGAGTATTCATGTACATGTTTTTCCAAGTGCTGTGAAGATATGACTCTCTCCCTGTCCCAGGGGGGCTGGCATATTTCCACCTATGACACTGTCATTGTGTCCCAGGAAATCAGTCCTATTTGGGGCTGGCTTTGACTCTCCCCTTGTCTTGCCAACAGCCATCCTCACCCCACCTGGGATGGAGCTCACCAAGGATGGCTTCCACCTGGTCATTGAGCTGGAAGACCTGGGGCCCCAGTTTGAGTTCCTCGTGGCCTACTGGAAGAGGGAGGCTGGTGCTAAGGTGAGGCTTCCTGCTTTGGCCTTTGGGTCAGCTTTTGGGAGGGAGGCAAGGATCTCTGAGGGTGAGCAAGGGAATCCAGCCCCTGCAGTGCTCACTGGGAGGCCTGAGAGTAAGCAGTCCGGGGTGAAGTGTGCAAAAGGAGATGAGAGTATGCCGCCCATCCCATCAGCCTCTTCTTCAAAGGAATGCGTTGGTCCATCCCAGGCCTTGGCTGGGAGCCTTTTCAGGTCAGATCTGCTGAAGCGCGGGGCCTAAACTCCTTGCCCTAATCTCTAACCTAGTTGGACCCACAACACCTTTCCAATGCATTTTTCTCCCTCATCAGCTGGTCTCCTCAGCCACTTAGGGGCAGCAGGTCAGGGTGTTCCAGATCGACTGGATAATTTCAAAAGCAGATGAGGCTGGTACAAAGCTCTTGAGGGTGTGTGTCTTGGCAAGGTGCAGGAGTGGGGGCAGGGAGCCAGGATCTGGCTCATGAATAAACGTGTCTAATTACGAGCGAATAGGCCGTGCAGAAGGCCTAGATGGGGTGCTGCCTCTGACTGTGGGAAGATTGCTGCAGTCTGGGGTGGGGGGGAGGCCAGTCCTTAGAGGGAAGGGTCAAACAAGCGGTGGCGACAGAAGGGGTGGAGCTCGAGCAGGACCGAGGGGACCCTGGGACCTGTGGAGCCCCTGTCCAACCTGATATGGTGACAACCTATAGGCCCACCCCAGTCAGCACAGTGAAAAATAGGCTTTATCATAAGAATTAATGTGGGGCAATAAGGGGCTGTCACAGAATCTATGCATGGAGCTGGCCCAGGGCCAGGTACGGTACAGCCTCCCCTTCCCAGGGCCCCTGGTCTGTGGAGTCCTTGCTTCCCTCTGGCGGGCCCTCCCTGTCACATGCTTTCTGTGGCCTTCTCCCAGCTTACCCCAGGCCCCAGTCCCTCCCCACTCCTTCCTATAGGTGCCTATGATACGCCTCCCCAAGCCGCTGAGGCTTTCTCGTGTCCTCTGTCCTTTGTCCCTACCTCTAGCTCTAGGTACTCAGGTTTCCCAAGACCAAATCCTTAGAAGAGCAATCTGATGGGTTTTGCTCATTTTATCAAGCCAATCTTTAGGGGTCACAGGTGGCCAGCTGGCCCCTGATGAGACCCATCTCAGGATGGGGCACCTCGTGTAGAACAGGGCACATTTCCTGCCACCCATTCAACAGGGGTCGTAGGTTGAGTAGCTTCCCCTGAAAGGTGGTGTGGGCAGGTGGGGCGGGCAAGAGTGCTGGGCCCTAGTATTACCATGCCAGCTCAGGGCCCCGTGGCAGGATGTGGCACTGCCAGCCGAGCAGATGGAGTGGTGTGGGGGACAGAGCAGGGCCTGGGCAGGAGGAAGAAGGCAGCTCCCTCGCATTCGTTGGGATGGAGCCCACTCCCCACCCTTGGTAACTGGCAGGGCTGGTGCTGAGAGAAGAATATGTACCCTGAGTCATCTGGGCTGGGTCCAGACAAGCCTCCGCAGGCTCAGAGGCAGAGCATAGGCCTCAGGGAGGGGGTGGAGGTGGAGGGGTGAACAGATGGGTGGTCAGATGGGTGGATGGATGGACAAGTGAGGAGGTACTGCCTGCCAGCTCCCATGCTCCCTGCACTGACCCCCGGCAGCCGCGGCCATGCCAAGCCCCACTCAGTCACATTTCCAACCTTCAGGTCTCTGCCCAAATGTTATCCTATCAGAGAGGCTTTTCTAACCACCCTGTTTAAAATAGTGCTTCCTTCTCACCTCTACCTCTTTGCTCTGCTTTTTCTTCACAGCCCTTATTACCACCTGCCATGTGTTTATATCATTGTCTGTCTTTCTCCATGTGAGCTCGATGAGAGCAGCGACTTTGTCTGTTTTGTTCAATGCTATGTCCCTTTGCCTACGACAGTGTAGTAAGTGCTTAATAAATATGAATAAATGAATGAGTGAGTGAATGAATGTGTGCATAAATGAGAGGGAACATTCTATATGCATTCTGGAAAGGAGGTATCTGTAGCTTTCCTCCCCTGGCTCTTCCAGTCCTGCTGTCTTCAGGGAGTAACTGTGTTTTCTGGTCTCCCAAAGGAACATGTCAAAACCGTGAGCAGTGGGGGCATTCCACTGCACCTGGTAACCATGGAGCCGGGGGCTGCATACTGTGTGAAGGCTCAGACTTTCGTGAAGGCCATTGGGAGGCACAGCGCCTTCAGCCAGGCAGAGTGTGTTGAGGTTCAAGGTAAGGACAGCCTCCCTGTCCCCTGGAGCCCTGCATGGGTGACGGCCCTTCTGGCACATGCGTGGATGCCCGCTGGGTATTTTGGTTCCAAGTTTTCCCTTGATTTCACTGACCCGACCCCAGGCTGGGTGGACTAGCGTAGTGAGAGTGTGCATGTCATTCTAATTCCCTAGAGGCAGGAGTCCACCCCAGGGCTGGGTGGAGTTACTCGAGCAGCTGGCTGGAACACTTTCCCCCTTAAAGCTTCCTGGGCGCGGGGCCAGATGTTGCAAGACTGGTTTACCAGATGGTCACTGCCTGTGAATCAGAGGGGCTGCAGCAGAAGTGGACCTTGTAAGGAGGCACCACATTGTGTAAGGCCACAGCTTCTTTTATCTGGAAGGGTCCTTTTGGAAAGGCTACATAATCCTCTTGTTCGGCTCAATTTTTCCCCCTGAATATTTTATGGCATAAAAACCTATAATGTTTAGAACATTTTGAAAAGCAAAACCAAACAAATCTCTATATCCCATGATCCTGCCATTCAAACACCACTACATTTTAGTCGTGTAGAACATTATTGTGTAGAACATTTTAGTCTTTTTAAAAAGACTAATTATTATCTTGAATATGTAGTACATTTATATGGTTCTAAAAATGTAAGATACACATAGAAATTCTCTTTTTCACTCCTCTTCCCCATCTATATAATTCCTACACTCTCTCCCATAGGCATTAGCTTCTTGTATATCCTTCTGAAGACTTTTTAATGAATATACAAGTAAATGAGAATGTATTTATATCTATTGCCCTTTTTTTTAGCACAAATCGTAGCATACTTTAGGCACTGTTCTGAATCGTGTCTTTTTCACTTTATATATTTTGTAGATTTTTCCATATTGATAAAGACATTCCTTTATCCTTTTTTATAGCTACATAGTAGTCCATTGTGTGAATATATAATAACCAATTTAACTAGTACCATATTGATAAGCATTTAGATTTTTTCCCCAAAATATCTTGCTATTATAGCCAATGCATGAATTAATTTCCTTGTGTACAGATCATTTTGGGGTGTTGTATATATTTGAAGGATAAATTCATGGAAGTATTGTTGCTTGGTCAAAGGCATACACATCTGAATTTTGATCACTGTTTCCAAATTGCCCTCCAAGGAGTGTTGTCCTTCAGTCATTGCCCATGTGTAGGCACATGCTGTAGTCATACATACATACTTTGTGACCACTCTTTTACAAATATCATATCCATAACATTTTCCATGCAGATTTCCTGATTAACATTTTTACTATTAATGCTTTTGAAAATCATATAAGTCAAGTATATTTAATAATCCAGACAACACAGAAGTATATAAAGTAAAAGGTAAATGTGCCCTGTTCTCTCCCACATCATTCAGGGGGTTTTCTTTGGCAAGTTTGGCATTTAATCTTCTAGTCGCTGCTTGTGTGATACCAATGCACACACAAATGAGACTAGACTGTACCTACTGTTCTGTCCCTGGCTTGTCTTCACTTAGAAGTGTACTTTGAACATCTTCTCATGTCCTTTTCATATGGATCTACCTTGTTTCTTAAAAAGATGCATAGTGAGCCAATCTGTGGATGTCCCAATACATGTAATCAGTTATGAGGCTGCTGCTCTAGTCCAGATGTTGCCAAGAACTGACTTATGCATATAATTGTTTCCTTCCTTGGAATTATTTTTTTGGAATTAAAATCACAGGAGTGGGTGAAAGGGTATGAACATTTGTGTATTGATGTATGCTAGCAAAATATTTTCCAAAAGCCCTGAAACAATGTGTAATGCCCTCAGTCACACGTGTAAGTTCACCAGCTTCTCCACAGCCTCGTTGGCTGAGCAACCCTTCACTCTTTGGGGAAGCTGCCCAGCCCAGAGGCTAAATGAGTTGCTTGAGGTTGCATAGAAGAGAGAGATGAGAAAATAACTCGTCCCCTCTTCTGCATCTCCAGATGCTCAGATCTGGCCCTTTCTGCTACATTTATTTGGTAAAATAACCTTGGTCTTTGGAGCCAGGTGGCCCTATCTATGTGATCTTGGGTAAGTCATGCAACCATTCTGAGCATAGAATCCTTTTTATATTAATAGAAGCAGGGATATTCACACTTGGGAAGTTGTGAAAAACAAGTGACTACATGTCCAGCCCTTAGCATAGTGCAGGAAGGAGCCAGTAGCTCTAGCACACATAACAGAGGCCTGATAAATCATAGTCACTATGTGACTGCTCTCTGAACTTAGTATTTCCTCCATAATATGAATCAATGCAAAGAGCAAATTGCGAAACGCTTTGTTTTAGTTACCGCCCAGCACTGCTCTGCGCTGTTCTCTTTCGGCACCTCCCCCTCATCCTGCCGGGGCCTGGCACTCTGCCTTCCTCCTGGCAGCGGTGCCAAGGTACGTGCTAACATGACTAGTGGCTTAACATATCATGCTCCTCCCTTCCCCTTCCCCAGAAAAAGATTTTAATCTTCCCTGGAGCTTTCTGGAAGCCATGCCTTAATCTGGATTCTAGAAAAATGGTTTTACTGGTGGTATTCTGATTTTAGTCACCAGGGCAAATATCAAACTCAGGATGTTGGTATCTGCATCTTGGCCGATGTGCAGAGCCAATTCTAGGAAACTGGAGGAAGCCCAGATTGGGGATTTTGTCTTCACCGCTGTTTGTAAGCCTGTTCCTATCTTTCTGTTTCCAGGAGAGGTCCTTCCCCTGGCGCTGGCCCTGTTTGCATTTGTTGGCTTCATGCTGATCCTCGTGGCCGTGCCGCTCTCCATCTGGAAAACGGGCCAGCTGCTCCGGTACTCCTGTTGCCCTGCGGTGGTCCTCCCAGACACCTTGGTAAGAGTGCTCTTTTTTCCTTCCAGAATGACACTGACCAGACGTAGGTTGGGCTTTAGTTGGGCATAGGCACATATTTCGTGGGATTAGAGGTATTTGCACAGAGAGAGGAGAAGGGTACTTATAGGGCTTCCTGTCTAACCAGAGGGACTGGGAGAGACCTCCCTTCTCCTGGGCATGGTGACTCCCTGAGGCAGGCCACCTCTGCTTTTCCCAGGACCTGGCACAGCCAAGAGGACAGAGGTGTTGCCCAGCCCAGGATGCTCAGTGCTTCAGGAGTCATGCACAGTTCTACCCTTCCTGCCTAGCATTCTTGGCCCCTTCCCACAATTGTAACAACAACTATACCCAATAACATGTCCCAACACAACATAGTTGATTTGCATGCCAAAGCCTCATTGTTCGCAGGGCGAGGAACATGTGCGTGAACATGAGAGGCGTGGATTTTGCTTTGCCTTTGTTGGGGCGGGGTGGGGTGAGAGGGCAGCAGTCTGGGCCTTCGTAGTGACTACCTGGGGTTAGTGGTGCCCACCTGTATCCCAGCTCCTCACAAGCCTAGGATTCTTTTTTTATTCCTGAGGACATTGGACCACGGGTCTGAGACTCTCCAGCGGGGAGGGGCGCTGTGTGCCCATGCCGCGGTGGTAGAAAGAGAAAAGCAGGCCTCCAGCAGCTCCCCCAATGGCCCATCTAGCTCCCTCCCCAGATGTCTTCTCCCACAATAACCATAATCTTTAATGTTGTTCCCCTATGTGAAATGTGCCCTTTTTCTCTTCCTGCTTTTAAATTACCATCGGTTTTCAGCAGTTTAACTATATATAACATGCCTATAGGTGTGGTTGGCTTTATCATTATCTTACTTGTAGTTTATTGAACTTCTTTAATCTGTAAATTTATATTTTTCACCATAATTTGGGAAAATTTCAGCCATATTTCTTCAGATATTTTTTCTGTTCCATTCTCTTCTCTCCTTTTGCAACTCCAATTTCATGTATGTTAGATCTTTAGATGTTGTCCCCACCAATCCTTGAGGCCTCCTTTATTTTTATAAAAAACATTTTTTCCTTCTCTATTCTTCAGATTGGATAATTTTATTAACCTATCTTCTTGTTCACTGACTCTTCTGTTATCACCAGTCTGATTTTAGGCACATCCAGTGAATTTGTTTTTAAATTTCAGATATCGTATTTTTCAATTCTATAATTTTCATTTCATTCTTTTTTAATAGTAAATATTCTGTGCTGAGATTTTTTTCATTTCCTCATTTATTATGAGAATACTTTCCTATATGTCCTTGAGCATAATTATAATATCTTTGTCTGCTACTTTAAAATCTTCGCTAATTTCACCAGGTGGGTCATCTTAAGGTTGGCATCTACTGATTGTTGTTTATTTGGTATAGGCCACATTTGCCTGTTTTTTTAGATATGTAGTGATTTTGGATTATATTCTGGATGGTTTCAACAACATGCTGTAGAGATTTTGTTCCTCTTTTATGTTCTTCTGAAAACTATTGATTGTTTTCTTTGTTTGTTTAAGTAAGCATTTAACTTGGAAGAATGCAGATTTCAAACTTTGGTCTCCAATGCAGTAACCAGTTGTTATCTATTAGACTTTTTAGTCTTCTTGGACTGGTTGGAGTTTTCCCCATACCTGTTCAGAGGTCAGTCAGTGATTTGGGGAGAATTTTTGTACAGAATTTGTATCTCTCCCTTTCTGGCGCTCTCCTTTGTAGGATTTCTCCCCTCACTTTCTAACTTCTGTGTTTGCACCAGTCTCTGTTTTTCAGTTCTTTAAGCCAGTAAGACTTCCACTGTTCATGGCGCCAAGTGGAACCTGCCCTCAGGCAAGGAGATGTAAAAAAATGGGAAACTCACTCAGTGACGTTCCTTTCTTCCAATTGGCAACTCTTGGTTGCTCTATGGTGATTCACAGAATCTGGTTTTATATTTTGGTCAGTTTTAAACGTTCTTATCTGGGGAGGGTTGATCTGATTGGTGTTCTTCTGCCAAAAGTAGAAGTAGAAACCTACAATAAAAGAGGAATTCCCTGAACGAATCCCAAATGGTGACAATGGTAGGGGAGAATTCCTGGCTGAGGCAAGTCACTGGCACTCCTTTTCCACATGTGGTGAGAAGTTCAGCCTTCCTCAGCTGGGCACCACCAGTGGGTCACTCGTGGTTTCTCTCTCAACTCGGTAGCCCACGCTCACCCTCTACTCACAGGCCATCACGTTCCTAACACTCTCCCTCATTTGTCCTCTGCTGGTCCTATATGCAGAGGCCCAGCAGAGTTTTCCTTCCTACCTCAAGATCAGGAGTTTGAAGACCTTCCCAAGACCTAGAGCCTTCTTGGTAAGGAACAGAGTGAAAAAACAAGAAAAGAACCATGTAAAGGGTCAATTACTTATAGGATTTCAGGTACACAGGAAGAGTCCTCAACTGGTAAGATCTCCTAGGGATCCTGATGCATTAAGAGCCACACTCTGAAATTAGCTTTTGGTGAAAACCAAATAGCTTAGATGAAACCAGAGACAAGAAGATTCTTTGACAGTCTGACCAATTTCATCCAGGGCAGATGGATACCACTACTACTGACTACCTTTGGCTTTTCTGTTCTCCTTTACCATCATTCTGATGTCTGTTCCTATGTAAATTCCTTTCCATATGGATATTAACTTTTTTCTGTTTTCGCTCCAAGATTTTTGAAGTGGACAAATTCTCTGAGTCTATGCGTTTCCCCACAGTGCTCTGTGAGAAGTAGATCATAGTGTCGCTAAATCCCAAACGCATTCTGGAGCTGTGCACCACTACTATCATCTCCCTTCTCTCAGACATGATTTTATTTTATTTTTTAGTAACCAGACATTGAACTGTCAGCCATGATTTTAGCATAGCCTTGCTGCATCTCAACATTTGTGTTGTTTATAGATAATCCTCCAAACTATTAAAAAGTGATTTCCAGCCATCCTTGCAAAATGCACTCATCTTTCCAACTAAACCATGGAAAATTACCAATCAGAAATCCTTGACAATTCTTCAAAAAACCCTACTGAGTTTGTGTTTAATCTGTCTGTATGGATGAGACATTTCATGTCTACATCTAAAATTTTACAGTTGGTGATAGTTGCATTCTGAAATATGCCATTAAAAATTTCATTCCATTAAAACTGATATTACCAAGTAACAGTTTAAAGCAAAAATATACATGCAAGGAAAATTATATTAATTCTGCTCAGTATATATTCTTTTTAAAATAGAGTTTATTTTTCTTGTCTTTTATCGACAGTTGCTTCATGGGAATGGGGGTATTTGGTACTAAAGGGTCTCCCTTTCCTTTTTGTGACTCACTTTATTCTTTCTATTCTTGCTGTCATATTCCACTGTAATTTGGGTAGCAAGCATAAAAATGGGCCAAAGTTAGTAATTCTTCAATGGGCCATCCCAAGTATGACCTTGTGTACTTTATATGAAGTGGAGTTTGTGAGCTCAGATGCCTCTGGGGCCAGCCAAGTATCAGGGTAAAAAAAAGGGTGTGCAGTGCAATGAATGTAACTCAGTAGGGAGGGTGTGGGGGCCATGGCGAGCATGTTCTGTCTAAATGAGGCAGCTACTTCTCAGCTCTGGCAGGTTGCTACCAAGAAGGAATGTGAGCCAGTGCTGTCAGATCTCCTAGTTTTAAATGAGAAACCCAGAAATCCTGATTCATATGACAAATCTCCTGATTTTTAACTGTTGAGAACTAATTCAAATTTTTAAAACGTTAGCTGAGCTTTGCTTGAAAGTTAGTTCTAACATGTGGGACCACAATTTTGTACCTTCTGAAATTATGCTGTTTCTTTTACTTTAATGTTCTAGAACTGTACTGTCCAATATACATTAGCCATTAGTCACATCTGACTATCAAGCACTTGATATTGCTACTAGATTTTAAAAATTGCATATGTGGTTCACATTGTATTCCTATTGGACAGTGCTGCTCTAGAATCTAAAAAATAATCGAGTATAACCAGTGTAGATTTAGGCAGCCAGTGTCCTGAGAATCTGATTGGTCCATAACCAGTGAATTGTTGGTGGGCTTCACACTAGCACCCCCACTTAGTGAGCCCTGCTTGCCTGTTGTCTTTTCCTGCTGCTATTTGCCTATGGACACCAAGACAAACAAGGATCAAGGGTGACTGGCTCAATGAAGCAGCTGTCTCCTGGAAGTGGGAGAAACCATTGTACCTACTTGTCTATGCCCATGCGCCACCCTTGGGAGTGACAATGGGAAGGGCCATGGAAGATAACTATAGAAGAACCTAGAGAATTTGGTGGAGGTGAGAAGGCTACAATAGGTGGGAGAATCCCTCCATAAGTTGACATTTGTGTGTTTACAACTAGTTATGATTATGTATTGGAGTTGCTGGGAGAAAAGGTGGCAGGAATATGAAATGTGAGTAGGGAAGAGGTTTATGGAGCACACCCTTTGGACTAGTCACTGTGCTAGGTGCTGTTTTCATAAAACATCTCAGACCAGGTCATTATTCTCAGAGCTCTCTGGTGCTTCAGGGTTAGAATTTTTTTTTTTTTTTTTTTAAACCATAATTACATTCTGGGCTTTTGTGGGGCAGGGTCCCAGAGCAGAGGGCCCTGACCAAGGATGGCCCCAAGGGCACTGTAGGGCAGTGAACTAGGATATGATCTCAGCAAATGTTGGAAGCCCCTGATCTAGGGGTTGGAATTATTTTTGAGGTTTTTTGCTGCTTGGAAATTAATTAATCAGATCGGGTGTGGTGGCTCATGCCTGTAATCCTAGCACTTTGGGAGGCTGAGGCAGGATTGTTTGAGGTCAGGAGTTTGAGACCAGCCTGAGCAAGAGTGAGACCCTGTCTCTACAAAAAAATAGGAAAATCAGCCAGATGTGGTGGTGCATGCCTGCAGTCTCAGCTGCTTGGGAGGCTGAGGCAGGAGGATCACTTATGCCCAGGAGTTTGAGGTTGCTGTGAGCTAGGCTGATGCCACTGCACTCACATAGGCAACAGAGTGAGACCCCATCTAAAAAAAAAAATAATTAAATAGTTGGAATTTAATAATGTTCTTTACTACTACTAGCATCTAATGATTATGAACAAAAATTATTTTTCAGAAAGTAACCAATTCACCCCAGAAGTTAATCAGCTGCAGAAAAGAAGAGGTGGATGCCTGTGCCATGACAGCTGTGCTGTCCTCTGAGGAGCTCTTCAGGACCTGGATCTAGTGGGCTTCGGGAAGGGCCCGGGTGAAGCTGAGAATCTGGTCTGCATGACACAGGAACCACGAGGGGACAGGCTGTGTTTGTTTTCTTCCATGGACAAGGGACAGTAGAAGTAAGAAGACTCTGCTGTCTACAGAGGCAGAGTGGTTTGCCTGATGGAGCACTGACTTGGGGTCAGATGTGACCTCTAGACCTGGAGCTGCCATTTCCCTACCTGAGTGACTCTGGGGAAAGTGACTTTATCCCGCTAGTCCTCAGTTTTCTCATCTGTAATGGGAAAAGTAACTACATACCGGCTAAACACACACAGTTTCTCTCTCTCCAGCCATGCAAGTGCTAGGTGTATGTGTGTGTGTGTGTGGGGGGAGGTATACCCACACACACCCCCAGTATTTGTGGGACTGTGAAACTGGTGACATTGAACAGTGTGACGGGTTCAGCTTTTCTGGAGAGCAGGGTACAAACGTGTGATTAAGAACTATCGTGGCCTCTCCACACTAGTTGGCTTGGAAGTCCCATTTTCCCAGAGGAAACCTTGGAGAGGAAGGGAAGGGCAGAAGTAATGGTGTTGATTTCACCTCAAGCCAAACGCCTGTGCAGAAGTAAATGAAGGGCTCAGTAAGCTCTACAATAGGTGACCTGGACGGAGGTCACAGCACACTGAAAATGGAACATGCTCATGAAACACTAAATGTTGAGCGTGTGTGCACACTGAGGACAGCAGCAAAACGTACGTGTGCACTGAGATGAGAATGCAGAGGGATGTCTGTAACAAGTGGGACATTTGCTGTGCTCCTTTGGAGTTGCTAAAGGGCAGAAAGGGGCCACCTGGGTAATCTTTTTGGTTCCTGCCCAAAAGTGGTCTTCAAAGTTCTAGTGACATATCAACCTTGAGTCCAGAGAGGTCCCAAAGGACACCCATGGTCAGGAGGATGGGGGCAACCCCAGGTAGGGCCCGGGGCAGGGTGGAGCAGTCTCAGGCTTCTGCACAGCCCCTGGGAGTCCAGAACCAGGGGCTGCCTGGGGTGGGGCAGCCTCTGGCCGCATAAGGAACCCACTAAGGCAGCTGGCAAAACCCTACCTGGTCAGGGTGCTCCTGGGCCTTCCCTGGAGGCCCCACACCACAGGTAGGGTCCCTTGAGGATTCTCTTTACCTTGACTGGCTTGCTCAGGGTATCCTCAAGCCCCTTCCATTTGCTCATCTAGGACCTGCCTCAGGAAGACTCTGTCCACCCTCCCCCCAACCAGGTGGAGAGCCAACATCTGAGAAGGAACAGAGGGAGGAAGTTCCTTGAGGTGTGAAGGGCTTGATGAGCAAGGCCTGTGCCTTGCTTTGTAACACCCACTACACCCTCCTCCCCGCAGCTCTGGAGCCTCTGAGTTGGTCCATCTCCACCCCCACTTCCTGGGCCCCTTCCAGCCACCGCAGCGTCGGACAGTCTGACTGCTTCAACCAGGTGTTTCCCTCGTGCCAGATAGAGGCTCACAGCCCTATCTCCACCTGGTGGGGTCTCTCCAGGGTATGAGAGAGCTGAAGATCTTTTCGCTTGTATCATTTTGTATGCTTCTGTGTTGTTTGACTCTTTTATGAAGAGTGTGTGTTAATTTTATACTTGGCCTAAGCTGGAAACATATTTTCAGTTTGCAAAAATAAAGACCATGTTACTACACTGGTCCTCACCTGCCTTCCTCCCTCTTCCCTGCCCCTTCACCCTAGGGGCACTATCCCTCCGTCACCAGCCCAGGCCCACAACAGAGAAATGACCCTGATCTCCCCTGCTTCAGTCTCTAACTAGTGCCAGTGCCCATCCGTTTCTGATGTCATATATAGGGGTGTAGAAATTTCTGGGTTCTTCTGTTGTCTCCCCAGGTCCCCAAGATGCATTTAATGGAACTAGATCCCAATGGTGGAGGGGGGCTGCCTCCTCTGTAGCTGGCCATTCCCTCTCTCCTGGAGCACTTACATCCTGACTCCCCAGCCTCCCCCTCCTCCCCTCCAACGCATTGATCCCTGCACCTGGTCCTGAGAGGGCTGTGATCAGTAATGCAGCAGGACAACAGCTGTAAACTGGGACTGCTCTGGGCAAACCAGGAGCGTGATCACCCTGGTCACAAGGCACAGCTCCCTGCCTCACTCTCCTTCTTCTGGAAGCTTAAACCTTCCAGATGCTCAAAGTTGAGGGGGCCAAGCTCAGCACTAATGGTCTTTTCATCGCCTATCACTGAGCCCTGCAGAACTGAGGGAAAGCACTGGAGGGGAGTGGGTGTCTGGGAGCAGCCTGGAGGGGCTTCTGCCATTTGGGTCCGGGAAGACTGTCTCTTGCAGCCCTTATGGTGCCTGACCCAGCAGATCCTGCGACCTCCAGGGACCAGCCCGGCCTTCCTAGTCCTGCCTTCAGGGAACAGCCGCCAGGGTCCAGGGAATCAAACCACTGCTCTGTGAGGCTTCCATTCAAGTGGGGGAAGGGGGGAATACTACTATTACTACAAGAATAAAACGTATTATTATTAAGTGAATTATCTAGTATATTGGGAGTTTCTAAGTCTTTTGGAAAAATGAAAAGGTAGAGCAGAAAATGGGGGCTGGGGGTACTTGCAGCCATCTCAAAATGAAAGTGAATGGAAACAGCTGAACCAAAACTCTGTCGGGTAAGTGCTTGCGTAGCCACATGGTGTGAGAGATCATGAGTGACTCTAAAACAAAGTAATTTGGCAACACATCCTTAAGCGTTTGCAGTCTAAAACAAAAACTGTATTCAGTATTTATGCTGTTTGTATTGATAGGGTATTTTTTTTTTTTTTTAGCTATTCTCTTATCAGACAAAGCAACTAAATAACTGTATATTTTGATAGGAACCTAGATTTCAGGATTAGTGACAAGGAAGGCCAATTGTAGGCCCCACAATTTGAGTAAGAACAGTGTACTGTTAGAACTGAATCAAACATATTAGTATGAAGTCATGCTTTTACAAAACATTTAATTATAAAATTTTGGCTTGTCTCTACTGAAATGGCCCAGTACAAAAGTCACTTCCATCATGCACTCTAATGCCCAGATTTTGGTTTCTAATGCTATTTTCCTCCCAAGGAGCCAAGGTTTCTTGGAGCAATAGCTGACTCTACGTCAATCTGGGGCTGAGGAGGTACAAGAAAATCCTAGAACACCTATGCCTGTTGGGTCAATAAAGCAAAGCTTTAAGTAATTGAGTCATTCAAAAGTACACAAGAAACAATCTAAAAAGGCTCCTACTGGCCAAAGTTGGCACAATATGAGCATCTAAAGGAGAATATTGGCTGGCATTAATCAATACATTTGAAAAGTCATTAGTCCATAATGACACCTAAGAACAGCGAAAGCTAACACGATGAATTCGCAAAGAAGATGAATTGAATGGCATGCATTTCTACTTGTTATTCAATCGTGTCGGGCTTATTCATCGCAGCAGTGACTAATACTAGCAAATGTAAGTCCATCCACCAGTCAGAAGGCATTTTTCTCCACCACCACCAGCCTTGGCCCAAGCCCGCCGTCTCCCACCGGACCGCCTGCGCCTCCCTTCCCTCCTCTTCCCGTCTCTCGTGCCACCCTCCTGTCCTGTTCAAAGGGGGGGGGCTCCAGGAAAAAATTTAACTTCCTTTTACAGAGGGATTGCAGACTCAGTCTGGGCTACCCATCCCCATGTCTGGGCTACTCATCCCCATCTCTTTAAAAAACCAATTTTTTCTTATTTTCTGTGTACCCGATTTCATCCTTAGGCTAGAGTAACTTTCCGTGGGCGCCGATCTCTGTTTCCTGGAGCTGTCAAGGCTGGCCTGGACCCATCGCAGCTATTCGAGCCCACCGTGAGGGGGGGGCCTCATTACGTCCACGGTGTCTGGCGCCACCCCGTGGTGAGCGCTGGGAAATTTCCTCTCCCGTTCCCACTCGCAGTGAGGCTCCTTGGGCTTCCTGCATGAAGAAAGGAAAGCTCAGACTAGTTTCCTAGAATGAGCATTCAGTTACAAAACTTCCACGGGCTTGTCTCCTAGCAAGCTGCTATTGTCACTAGCGGCTTTAGGATTTAGCCGCCACCATCTCCTCGCTGGGTAGCTGTATCTGTACCTGTGCCGTGTGTGTGTCCTACCTGCCCGCAGCACAGGGTTAGGGGCTTCCCTTCCCGGGCGCGGGCTCTTCCTCCCCCGTTGGCTCCTGCCGTCCTCCCACTCCTCCGTCCTGTTGGTCTTTCCTCTGTGCTGCTGTTCCCAACCTCGTAAAAGAAGACATTTTTTGTTGTGTTTTTTTCTGTGTGTCCTACTTCTAGCTGTCCTTGGGCTAGACGGACTTTCTGGGGATGCTCCTTAGGCCACAGAGCAGTAAGGGGGCGCCCCAGGGCTGCTCAGTCTGGTTAAACCAGCATAGTGCACAGCCTGTGAAATTTGGGACTGGAACTCTATCTAGAGTTGACCCCAGTTTACAGTTTTTCTTTTTTCTCTTCCTGGCTCCTGGGACCCTCGGGTCCTTCAGCACCTAACACCACCATCACCACCACCTGGAAACACCCATCCTTGCCAGAGGTGAGAGGACCACCACCATCACCACCACCTGGAAACACCCATCCTTGCCAGAGGTGAGAGGACAAGGCACACAAAAGGAAGACCAGAACTTCCTTGCCTCCCTCAGAGAGAGGTCGCAAGCCCAGGAGATGTTGTAAAACCCCATTAAGGGCCTTAGCGGGAAAAGTAAGCAGGAGCCTTCTCAGGGCCCTGCAGAAACCGTAAGGGCAAAAGTACAAACCCACATACTTTTGGAGGAAGTACATGTTTCTAGACCCGCCATTGGACCACATGGAGGAAATTTTTTAAAACTGCTTTAAAAACTCTGGTTGTTGGAAAACAATGAGTGCCCGAACAAATCTCAGTAACGTCTACATTTTGCTTCTGTACTTAAAACAATTCACTATGAAGTGGCCACACACCTCCAAATTTCTTGGAGATGCCAGCAAGTCTTCTATGAAATTGCCTTGGTATAAGATTAAGCCTACACAACATCATCTTGGGTTTCTAGGCTTAGAAGATCACGTCCCAGAAAGTTGGGTCCTCTGATGTCATCCCACCTACATTAAACCACGAGGACAGGCTTTCCCAGGTGAAGCCATGTCATTGAAGTTAACTGTTCCAGTGTCTCACCTTAACTTTTGAGTCTTGCAATTGGGAATAGATCAAAATGAAATGCTCCTCCCACTGCAGATTAAGTCTAGATTATGGAGGGCCAGTGGGGTGGAACAGTTGCTGTATTTTAAATAAAGAGTTTTAATTTAGCAGATGGAAGCATGTAGATGCTGGAATTTAAATATGAGTAACTTTAAGTAGTTCAGTTTTAATTTATGAGATAATCTCTCTTCAGATAGAAAGATTTATCCATTTACAAAAAATTTGGAAGATTCTAAACATTTTAAATTTGTCAAATGAAAAGTGATATTCAGAGACAATAGGGTATCATCTGTTTGGAAAGATGCCCTCCCAACAAACAGATTATTAATAGTAAATACAAGTTTGAAACTTGTTGGATTTGTTGTTTATATATCTCTATTAAATATGGTTTATTGATTTTTAGCCATATAGACTGGGTGATTCTGGATGTCTGTGTGTGGAATTAAAAAGTATATGAATTGCACTATTATAAAACCAATAATTCTCTGCCTTCTCTTTTTTTCTCCTTCTTTCGCTCTCCCTCCCTTCCTTTTTTTCTTCCTCCCCTCCCTCCCCTCTCTCCCTTTCTTTTTTCTTTCTTTACTTTTCCAACAGAATTTTAAACTCTGAAGAAGTTTAACCCTTTTTTCTTTCTTTACTTTTCCAACAGAATTTTAAACTCTGAAGAAGTTTAACCCTTTGCACTTGCTTGCTTTTTTCTTGATTCCTTTATTGTACTCAGGATTTAATTTTTTAAATACCCCAGATTTTACAAAGCGCAGCAGTAGAATAACAAACTGGAGTTTCTTTTCATATAAACTTATTTATTTGGATTTTTTTATATTTCAAATTATTGATACATTCAAAGAGTAATTTTAATTTCTATAATTTTTGCCAACCGTGTCAAGTCACACTCGACATCCGAGTGCAAGGGGTTAACTTTGTGTTGGAAAAGACAAGCTTCAAATTGAAGAATTGATAAAAAGCTTGAGCCTGAGGTGTGGTTCTAAACATGTTGCCTGAAAGCAAAAAGTCTAACTTCTAGAGATGTGTGTGGTATTGGTAGAGGTGGGGTGTGTGACTCACTCTTTGGCTAATAACTCATTTTAAAAATCATTTTCCACTTAAAACATTTATTCTAAAATTGGGATTTTTGAATTAAATGCCATTTAAAGCTTTAAAAAGGCATTACAAATTTTATAATTGCAATCAGATGATGAGTCAATTTACCTTAAATTCAAATAATATAATTTTATGATATACTCTGAAGTCATAAATACAGCTCCTACAGAATGCAAAGGCAGGAATCTGGGGCAGAGCATATTTGATTCTAGGGAAGAATTTGGATTTCTTCACTAACACTAAACAGCTATAGCCTAAATGTGTGCTTTGATTATCAACATTACTATATTTTACACACTGGTTCTATTATATTAGAACCCATCTAATCTGGACACTGTATGATTCTGTAAAATAGTTTTTACTTAACCTTTCTGGAAAT